AACGCCTTCCCCCAAGTTTCCAGCAACGTGACAGTGGTACATTGTGCCGTTCTTGAATGGAGATCGTGATAGTTCCATCTCCAATTCGCACCCACGCACGGAAAATAATGTACTGACAGGTCAGCTCACACCAGTTTGTTCTTCTGTCCGCGTGTGGACATGCTCCTGTCACACACGGCACAGGTAAAGGAGGGGGGCTAAGTAAGTAATTACAATGTAGTTAGTTGGGACCAATAGTTGTGTAGTATCCCCGCTCTAACACTACTTGAACATTGTTCTTTTCTACGTCTTGCCTAGTAACTGCTTGGTAGGATTCCTGGCTAGTACTAGGAGTACATGTACTGTATGTGCGTGGGTTCCCAATCTTCTACAAACGGTTCATGAAGAGATCATCCGAGGCTACATTGTTGTCGGCTACTAGTATTCACCAATCCAGCTACTGTATCAGGAAAGAGAGCAGTAGCCTGCGGTGAACTGGTGAGCAGTGTCTATCTTATTCTAGCCTTCTATGGTCAACACACTGCACGCACTGGATGCTCCCTGGCCACGGCTTCCACTGGCTACAAAGATCGAGGGGCGTGTACTAGTAAAACTGCATTGCAGGATTTCAGCACACGTCCCTGTTTCCCCAAAAAATATTGTCAGTGTGTGTTGAAGATACTGTATATCCAGGATGCATAATGACGTCGAGAATGTGGCAGCAAGTGCGTGCGCGTCTCTGGCCGGCTCTTCCGCTCTCACCCGTTCGAACTACTGAAGCACTATTTCGTAGAACAGCTCTTGCATTTTATTCCGGGAACCAGGTTTTCAATACTCTGGCATGGCAGCCGAGCTGGGGTTTGCCACACTCCGGAGTCACGTAGATCTACGTGTACCGTCGAGACCGTGCAATGGGTGGACCCGACAGTGGAATTGTATTCGTCGATGTTTTAACGTGCCGGTGGAGAATAGGACCAACAGACGTCGCAGCAGTTGAGCAGGTTAATAAGCTTTAAAAACCAGGAGAAGAGGGCCGCAATAAACCAATAATGATTTCCGTATATCCTTTGAACGCAAATAGCCGCACCGTGACATACGGCCGTCGTGTTCAAACTGTTGCCTCATTACTCAAATAGCCATGGCGGTACGGAAATCGACTGAAGTGCTTTTACAGCGATCGTGTCTCGATTTCGCTTGAAGATCGACCAGGCACGGAACCGCAAGAAGAATTGACTCCTGACCGGTGTCTTGATGCGTGGTGTCGTTGGTGAGGTTTTCCTGGTTATTTGGCAAACGAATTTCCTTAAAGATGTGACTGGCGTAGTAGTAGACGAATGCCGTGTAGAACTAGAAACGACAATAATTATTATACCGTTGCCGCGCACTCCAGTTGGTCCACAATCTCATTGGCACGTACCGTGAAAGTAACACAAACTTGCCGTTGATACGGGGCAATGGATGTTCATTTGCAAGTGGGCCGGAGCTCGTCCTTGCCTAATCAATTACATGTATATTAAATGCAAGTAGGCAGTCGCACATTCCATCAATAAATAGAAAAGTGTGAACGGTGCGGACAAATTCACAATGAATGATCAGTACATGGCAATGTGGAGAAGCCGAAGCGAACTGCATGTACATGATTGTGTTTGTAACGACGGGGTTACGTCCCTATCAATCACCCACTACTAGTACTACTGTATCTGCATGCTAGGATTTCCGAAACATGGTTTTATGCAATAACCTCCTAATCATTACATGTGGATACATCGTTTACGTTGTGTAACTAACTAACTAATTGCTTGTGTGCCTGCCGAATCGTGCCCGGCTTGCACGATTCGGCAGGCACACAAGTTAGTTACACTTACAGGGCAGGTCTAGAAGTCCGGATGAGTGACGAACCGTACTGGTATGCTTGCTGGCCGCTTATCTGATTAGGAAAAAGTGTGTTTGTTGAGATGGCAGAACGACGTTACGTGCATGACTTGTTTTTCAACAGCATCACTGTGTATCTGCCAAGAGAGTCAGAAATACCGTAATAACGTCTGCAAGTAGTCACTGTAGTACTGTTGTCTCTGTATGTATGTGCGTGTGCGTGTGTGTGTACAGTAGGGGCGGCTTCGTTTTTTCTCTGGAATAGCCACGTCGACCAGTACCCGTCAGGCGTCACCCTTGCCTAGTCAGTGACTGTATATTATTACTATACAATCACGCAACATCATTCAGCTAGTGAGCTACACATACTTCACGCTCGAGTGTCAACAGCCACCCAGCAAAGCATTGACACGTCTGATTGGACTCGACATGTTGACAGCAAACTCTACTCAGCGTCGCGCCCAACACAGGCAGAACTGTGAGCGAGCGCGCTGTTTTCGGTAAACAAGCCCAGCGTCTCAATTTCACCTCCGACCGCAATGGGGAATCACCCGTGGATAGGCGAGTCCCGGCACCATCCTCACAACAGATGTCTTCTTTGCTGCCCTGTCCTCAGCCTTGGCCGTGCATTACAATTGACAATTAATTTGACATACATGACTGTACATGTGCTGTACTGGAATGGAGACACACTGCACTGTAGGCTGTACTCATACTAGCGCAGTAAAACCTGTCAAGGCGACCACTCGGAAAAGGCGACCACCTGTCCCAGAAGACCACTGCAGCCAGGTTCACGGGATGCTACATGTACAATCATGTACATGTATGTCCAGTCAAATGACCCTGGATAAGAAGTCCACCTGGTTACAGAGACCACATTTTGAAGGTCCCTCGAGCGGTCGTCTTAGACAGGTTTCACTGTACACGTAACAGAGTATTGTAGCTTGGTTGTTGTCACGCTCTAGCCTCTAGTACATGTACATGTACATTGTACATCATCTCGAGTGTTTGAGTGGTAGGATCAGGCACGGCTTCGCGAACACTGGATTAAAAGCATGGTCATTGGTCACGCCATACACGATGAGGTCGTTCGTATAAACCACGATCACACGGTACTATTCACTCCTCGCTGAGACCTCGGCCTCGCCTCCCTGCTATACTAGGTTAGTGGTCATGGACAATCACTGCATTCGGTACGCGCTACGTATATCGGTACATGTAATCGTAATGTGATCTACTGGAAGCATGCATCCTATGGTACGCCCACTACATGACCGTACAGTATACTTGAAGTTATTACATTGCACATAGTCATTGTAGTTCATATTCCTGATCTACAGCCTCGCTAGGACGAAGGTTACATGAAAGCTTCCTAAACTCATCCAACCTACAGTTCCCCTATTCCCCCAGCAAGTTCATAATTGTACATGACCACGAATATACATGTAATATGTTAGTGCGTGTTGTACGTAACGTTGTCACCATGGCATGTTGAACAACTAACTACTGTAACTTTTCTGAGATGAAGCCATGCTTAGTGCTGTCAATCATTTCGCTCAGGGCGCCGTGAAACCCCGATTTCACGGCGCCCTGTTTTCAAGTCTACATAATTATACGTACTCAGTATATGTGCCGTGTACATACTGCAAGTAACAGTTTTCTGTTACTGCATGTACTCGTAGTTATTGTATTTTCTTAGTGCACGTTTTCCGCATGGACAATCACTGCATAGAATTAATTGATGTCTATCTCTCACGACTACGCGTTGGTCGCGCTGCCCAAATTTGTACTGTCCCCGCTACGCGGCGGTGTGGAAAGAATCTGCATTCACCCCCGAATACCTCCTTTATCGCCTGCGCTCATATCATGCCATTTGCAAACTGGTAATCCGTATGGTCACCGAACAATCGATGTCGCGCAAAGCAGCTCCAGATCGCCACGTCCGGAAACTCGACTCTACTCCACGCCAACGCACAGTCGGTAAAAGCCATGCAGCTAGCATGCAGGGCCTAGGGGCCGGTCAACCCACGCGCGCGCGCAAGACGACGAGGCTGCACTTACTTGCGCTAACGTATAACCATGATAACTCGGGGCTACTGTCGCAAGGGGAAGCACCATCGCCGTCCCGTCCTGAGGTCCTGGGAAGGGAACGAGTGGAGTAAAGCTTGGCCTTCTCTGAAGTAAATAGTAATACAATGATTATGTAGCTAGTTAAAAGATAGTTTGATCAAGGAAAGCCTCTTTTGCACACCAATCCGAAATCGGGTTTTCCTTTGCTCGAGATCGCATTTTCAAAACGCAGTTTTATAACAGGCAGAAGAAACTCATGAAATGCACACGGAATAATACAGTATAAAGTCAAGTGGCTAGTTTGATGCGACTACCACAGCACGAAGATATCAGAGTGCCTGTAGCCTCATTGGCATTAGGAGTAGCTCATTGACATTGGGACTATGGGAGTAGCTGCGACTTGTGATAGTAATTACATGTAGTGGGTTGTTACCGAATTAGTAGACATAATACATCGAGTTTCGTGCTGCATGATTGCCGTCTGATCCTGTGCAAAAACTAATTATAAGCCAGTGGTGTCGTGGCGGGCATCAATCAGGAACACAAGCATGTGGTTTCTGAGTGAAATACACGACCTTGCGGTGAAGGCGACAACACGGTACGGCGCAGATTGGTAGAACGTGTAGCTCTGTAGATGATAATCACTGACTCCATACAGTCATGTACGTCCTTGCAAAAGAAGCAACGAAGTCAAAGACAACACCTGCCTGATCTGGTCTGACTTTTTGCATCATTCCTCCAACTCTCACTGCATGCATCGGCTTTACTGTGTGTGCGTCTAGTCTGCAGATAGTGCTCAAGAAAAGCGCTAGAGAGTGACTAGTGGGAGATCGGGTGAGTACTAGTGAGTAGCACGGTTTTGCGAGTCCGTGTCAACGCCAGCGACGTGTCATCATACAGCATAGCAGAGCAACACCTCCTGGGACCTGTCACAGTGTCAGGCAGTGCGGACCGAGTGCAGCGCAACTCAAAGCCCGTGCTCTCCAGTACTGCCGGCAGTAGACTCGGACTCTAGTCTACGCATAGCTCGAGGCACCAGGACACAGCCTTTGCTTTGCCAGTACTGCAGAAGCCTAGTGTGTGGCGTGTTTTCGGAGGTGCTTCGCCGTGTGTCCCACTGGGAGGACGCAGACTGCGATCGAGGAGATGTTACATGTTCCTCGGGATCGACAGTGTACAGCGCACTGGGGCACAGGTCAACGGGGCATACCGTCTGCATAGTGTTGTCCCTGCTGCAGATACTGAGATAGATAGCCAGGCGATGTGAAACCCTCGTGGCTAGGGCAGGCTCAGCGCTGCCTTCCGCCACGGTCCGGCCTCCGCTGGCCAATGGCCACGCCACGAATCGTCGAGATCAGGCCTGCCAGTGCCCCAGCTTCTGCTGCTGCAGCGCTGACTTGAGGCTCTATAAAACAAGAAGTTGGCAAGCAGTGTACCCCAGAGACCAGGCAGGCTAGAACACAGCTGTTGCGAAACAGACTGCACCGAACCAGCTAAAGCCTCTCACCAGCTTCTCCCAAAATTTCTCAGTTCCCTGAACATCGCGGAGCAGCTGTTCTGTATCACACCGTCCGACTTCGAAGAACAGAAGATTAATCGCAAAGATGACCGACTACTTGTATTTAAGGAACCAAGCCATGGAGAAGGAGAGGCAACGGCAGCAGCGTCAGCAGTATGAATCTGCGTACTCGTGTGCAACCAGCCCAACGGATCTAGCCTCACCGGTTGATTACTCGTCTTATCCGTACGGATCGGCAGGCGAACACAGCGCCGTGTCCAGCAGCAGTCCGTACTGCTGTTCCTTTTCATCCTACTCGCCGGTACCCTCGCCAGCACCCTCTCAACAGTCCGTCATGACCTTCAGCCCGGGCAGTCGCAGCAGCCACTACAACCTCCCCAAGCCTCTCTGGTTCTTATCGCCATCCAATCGAACGCAGCGGAGATTTATCCAGCCCGAGGTGTACGCACGGCGCCGGGCCACGGCCAATCTTCGTGAGCGCGGCCGGATGTCGGAGATGAACCGGGCGTTCGATCGACTTCGCGGCCGAATCCCAATCTATCCGCCGTCGCACAAGCTCTCCAAGATCGACACGTTACGCCTGGCGAGACAGTACATCTACGATCTCAGAAAGTTGTTGTCTGACGATCTGCCAATGGGCTGCGATTGCTCTCTCAATATTCGCATAACCAAGGATGAGAGCAGTGACGAAGACTCCACATCACCGGTAAGTCTACTATGATCTTGTGTGCAGCGAGCTGCACCTACCGTGTCTGTTTAGGCCGTGCATACTGGCACCATTTTGGCCAGCATAGTATGATTAGACAGTGGGCACGGCTGGTTATGTAATGCATTCGTACATACCGGTAATTGTACAATAATGCCGTACCCTGTGTCCCGTGATGTCATGGGCAAAGTCGGATTGCGGTTTCTGGTGTTTTCTCCCGCGAGCTGAGAGTGGCTGAACTGTCTCCACGGTACACTGGGCAAGAATCTACAGCCAAAGCCCCCTGGTCCTGTGGGCCCTTCCCGCACACACCCTGGGCGGTTGGACTGGCATGGCGGTAAAAACCCCGTTGTCACTGCATCATAGTGCATGCTACCCTAGACTACACAACCCTGCGTGTGACTTGAATGTCTACGTAACGCGACTCATTGCACGTTGCTATGGTAGCAGAGACGGACAGAGCTCGCTTTTATGATGGCGGAGACGTCATGCAGTGATGTATTTGTATTGCACGTGTGTTTGTCTGGCACGCGCACACTGGTAAACAAGCACTGCAGCTTGCTAGCAGCCCGCAGAGTGTAGAGTCAACTGTTGTTTGGGCCCCCGGACGGCGTGGCTGGACCAGCACAATCTAAATTATTCTAATCCTGGCCAGTGAAACCGCTAGTGGGTGTTGTGAAGACATGGCGTCTGTCTAGCTAGGCCTGGTATCGTGTATCCCGTGGCGAAGTAACCCATGCAAATGTGCAATCTGGTGACATGTTCCCGTCAACATCTGACTGGAACCTCAGGACTGACGTCTTCAGCCAGTCTATTGTACAGCCTAGTATTGGCATTGCACAGTGTATGATAGTAGACATCAGGCCCTGTGTACATCATGCATCGATTGTACATACAAGCACGCAGCGATACCTATCGCACTGTAGGTGCACTGGAACATGGCGTGGGACAAGCAACACTGAATGCAGGACTGGATTTGCACCGCTGAGAACCCATGGCCATGCCAGGGCCTTGAAAAGACCCACATACACACACACAGTAGTGGGGTCTGCATGACGAGACTACTCTTGTCAAAAACACTGTTCCCGGACGTAGACGGCCACCACATATATAGAAGGCCAATCCGAATAACATGGTCCATGCTGCAGGACACTACAAGTGTAGTCTGGCACCTGTACATGTACACTGGATTGCTGAGATGTGAAACACTGCACCTTGCTCTACACATTCAAGTATCAGCACCCGGTGGGACAAGATGGCGACGAGCTGACACTATGCAGTATCTACCAGCACCATGTTTATTAACACCATGGCCGACTCGCACATAGCATTGCAATGACCAGTTCCAGGGTTTTAGTACCAGTTGTCCAATGATTGCTTCAGCATGAAGCTCTTTAGAAGTTACAGCAGAATCTGACTGAGCCTCTTCTTTTCATACGGGTATGTGCGAAGCGATCCGACCAAAAAGTTACCTGTAGATAAAGTTCTGGGAGTACAAGCTATTCTTCGGCTAGCTGGGATGGAACTAAACATCCCAACTCCTCAAGTTCCTGACCGTTGTGACTTGTTAGCCAGAAAGCCTGCGCTATTTTCATGCACCAGCGTGCCTTGGGCGATTGTGGCTTGTTCCGGCTTGTTGTAATGAGGTGACAAATGGAGGAGGTGGCCTTTTGACGAGTACAAGCTTACATCCTCACAGCCAGAAGGACTAGCCTGCCTTGAGCTGTTGGGGGTTTGATGGGCAACCAAATGTACACTGCCAACTCAACACCGATTTTAATTAATTCTACAAGGTGTCATAAATAAAACCTGCGCCCTGCTGTGCGCTGGGGCAACCTCCAATTGTAGCATTTGGAACAGTGTTTTAAAACATCTCCACGCGGTCATGCAATCGTGTCTTGTCTTGTCTGTTGCCTATTTGCACTGTCTTGTATTTCGGGGTATGTGTGGTGTGCGACGTATGTATTGCTTCGTTATGTCTGACTCTATTATTTGCCATTGTTTCATTTCGCTGTCCACGTAGAGGTCATCCAGCAGTGGTGACGGCCTGGATTCCAATCTCTCTTCGTCCAACGCCAGCGACGAGGCCTTCCAGACCATCGACCAGGTAATGCGGACTCTGGTTCCGGTAATAGCCGCCGAACTCCACTACCAGCATCCCAGCCAAGAACCGCAACGTACTGTGGAGCAAGCAGCGTGAGAAGCACACACTGTCGCGTTTGCCATTCCAAGTCATCCCGAATGTTTCTTGTTGACCCTGAACGTAACGTGGATGTGTGATAAATCCCATTTTTAGCTGCTTTCTCAGAGCTGGTCAGAATGAATCTATGAAAAGCATGAACTAACGTAACCAAATGGCTATATTTAAGTAAATTGGTAAGATAGTCGTAAGCTATACTAACAGTAATCAGTATCATTTGCATTTTCTGCACATTTGTATTTGCATGAACGACGTCCCCAGCATGCTAAGCTGAACTTTGCTATTCGGGCTAAACATGCGTTTTTTTTCGCTGGCATTCGCATTCACACACGCTCTGTATCACTGGTAAGCCGGTTAGCGGCGTAAATCTAAGATATCCTATTGGTTTCAGCATGAGTAACTACGTAAACTACCTGTAAGGATAATAATGGTAATATCTAATGAGAGAGTGAAGCTCATATCTGGTTGCTTTCTTGGCCGTGCATACTCTCATAGTACCGTTAAGTTTCTAATGTTCCAGTTCTCCATCGATCTGCATTTGCATCAGCATACTTTTCTACGAGCTGATATCTGTTGTCCTCGAGGTAAACTTCGCGCCCACTATTCCGTGATTGCAATTATGACGTAATTATTATTCTCATTATCTCCACATGCTGCCACACAGCTGGCGCACCAATACGTATTGGCTGGAACCATTACAAAAGAATCTATTCAATCAAGAATTTAAGATGAGTGCGTTTGTTGACTGCTTATATGGGGCTGGTTGCCCAAGGGGAACTGAAACCTGGTCTAGACACTAACTGGTGAATATCGTGTCGCACTTGTGCATCAGTGCTTTTTCGCTGCGCTATTTCGGATCATGATCAACGGGACTGCTCCGCCCCTCCTAAATCTAGAACTGCCAGGACTGCCTGGGTAGAGGGGCGGTGGGGGGGGGGGGGGGGGCACTAACTTTAAAAAGCAGTTGCCAGGTCAGGAGCACTCAACACTTGTAATGGGACATGTACATGTACAAGTACTTGTAAGTAATTCACCGCTGAGTCCGTGAAGGAGTGTAGGCGTTTCATTCGGATTTCCAGACTTATCGGATCATTTGGTGGCCAGTCTACTAGTATTCCCGGCGACGACGGCCACCTTGAATTGTCCGTACACATGACTCTAGTATTCTGAACGATTGTGAATGAACGTGACACTCTTGAGTTGCAACACAGCTCCCCCCCCCCCCTGAATTCTCCGTATCGCTAGAATACTGACCTCTGTGTCTATTTCCAATCTTCATCTGCTTGAATACCAGACCAAGTTGCAAAGCCTACGCTATTGTAAATATGGCAGCCATATTCAGTACAAAAGAAAAATGGACCAAGGAACTACAAGTTACGCTATAATGTCCACTAACACCACCAGTTACAAAACAATCACTGAGCTCATGCGATAACATTGCACGACACTGACCGACGGTTCAGACGTTCTTTTGTATAAATTAATCATTGGCTCTCCATAGGGGTCAAAGGGGTGTTCCGGGTACCCGGGTACCCGACCGTTAATCTCTGGTACCGTTAGTAAAAGGGTACCCGTTTGGATTTCGATGATCTAGTCAGTACGGAACGACACTGCTAGGATTGCGCATTCCAGGCGGGAGTCAATTATTTACAACTCCACGCTGGATGTCTGCATTGTTGTTGCATTTGTGAACCTAGTAGATCTACCTCTGCAACTATCAGACACAAATCAATTTGCGAATCATAATGTGATATCAAAATTCAACCTGAGAACAGATAAATCAATATAACGATTTATGTGAAAATTGCGCAAAAATTAAACATGGCGGCTAAAGGGTACCCGTTAACCCGCTCGTTAAGAAAATTACCCGGTCGTTAGTTAAAGGTACACCCGTTTGACCCCTAGCTCTCCATATATGGGCCGAGTCCATACCATATTCGGTATTTGTATTTTTCACCTCCTTCAGGACTCCCTCCTGTGGCGACAATTCGGAAGAATTGAAGAATCTTGAGTAGTAGCCAAGGACAGCGTGTGGGTGTTTGCTCTGCAATTACATACTTCAAAGTAGCCAATTTTCGCCAGTTTAGAAAGCACGTAGCAAGAGCCAAAGCAATCTAGCGGTATACTTGAAAATTAATAATACGCGTCTCCACCAAATCAGCACGTGTCCGTTAAATGGTGGTCACGGGTGGACAGGATTCATTACCAGTTTCTAGTAGAGTAATTGGAGATATTCACTCTCTCAACTGAGAAGAGCCATACTTGCATCTACATGCATAATAGCTCAAGGGGAAAGGAAGAACACCAATGCTAATGTGAGAAGAAGCAAAGTGTCAAGTTAGACTGAGGAAGGTGTGAATACTGTCGGCATGAGGAAGGGTGTGAAATGCATGCCGCAGAACTGATGGGTGATTCCGTGAAGGTGAGAACCGTCACATTGATGACATCCAAACAGTGAGTGGGCTTTGCATTCTGCCACCATAACAACTCTGGCTCAGGGTCCCATCCAGGTGTGAACACTAAACACAGTTTGTTGCCAACAGTAGCAACTGTGCCTGTTTGTTCATCGACTGTAGCTGTGTAGGCTTAGCCAACCAACCAACTGTGTCAAGGTGGAAGAAGTACTTCGAGATGCAGTACATCTGAACTAGCTTCAACTATATTTTTGGTTGCCAAGATGAACTTGTGCACTTCTAGGCACTGTCCGTATGAGAAGTATGTACTGCAGTACTTGCGTTGTAAACACGAAACTAGTACATGTATATATCATGACGTATGTACATACATGTACAACATGTAGTACTGTTATTGTTGATCATGGCTTACGGGTACACACTGAATCTAGGGAGACACAATCACGACTCCGCCCAAACTCTAATACGTACAGCCATGTATACACCAGCGTGCATGTACATGTGTATGGACGATGTCACGGGACTTGACCCCCTCTCTCTCTCTGAGTGAAGTGTCACAATACCCCTCACAGTGTGTACATGTACATGTAATGATCTAATGCCAGCACTCCCTGTGTAAATACTATCCAAAGTCCAAGTGTGATGATTGTCAACCCGCACGTCAAGGGCCGCGGAACGATCGGACATGAACGTGTCCCGTTCCTGGTAACATTGCACGTCTCACATCAACGTTGGCAGGGGGAGATGACCACAACATGTATACACCAGCCGAGACTACTAGGCCATGTCCCTGACATAGCAATCGTGACTGCATACCATGTAGACCACACGTCAAAGATCACGCCACAGTGCACGCAGAGTACACCTATAACATACATAATGGGACAACAGAAGGGTGACAGGAATTATTCACGAAACTCGGGACCAAGCTCACACAGCTTACGAACGTCAACAGTTTGTTCTTCACGGCTGTTCAGATTCCGAAAAAGCGGCACCTACGTCATCCGCGCCTTTGCGGCTGGCGCAGCTAGGTTGCTCAAGAAAATTCAAAAATTCGAAATTTAATTGCATCGAAATTACCTTGAATACATGGCTTCTTCGATGGATATAGGACAAACCAAGCCTGCCTTCCAGGTGAATTCAGGTTTATAAAACTCCTTGAATGCAGTCGTCTTCATGTCCAAAATTTCGAAGCTTCACTCCTGATGAAAGTGCTCTTTTCCTCGACGAACGTTTCCTTCGTATTCTTCCTTTTCATAGCATCGTGCCTATTCCTGGGGATACTTTCAGCTAGCTTCTTGCCCAAGGTAAGGTTTTCTAGCGTCTTCTCCAAGTTTTTCCTGGTGCACAATCATACTACCTCTGCAACCCAATTGAGTTTTTTTCGTCGAGGGCCACTCATTCTCGTCGAGGGTCCCTCGTTGTCAGCCCCCATGGCAACCCACAATTCAGTGCTAGAGTCTCTGTGCAGGGTGTGTGGGTTCTTTATACCACCCTTTCGGAAAGACAAGAAGACGAGGACGACTACACATGCAGTGGCTGATCACGCAGATGAGCTCCTGCATTATTTCAACATCAACACAACAACAGACACGCCAGACGTACATCCTGCAACATTTTGTGATTCATGCAGATCGTACTTGAGAAGGGCATCCTCCTCTTCTTCTAGTGACTTTAGAACACCAACTCTCTATCTGTGGCAGCCACATGGCAGTACCACTCCTGGCCCTTGTAAAGTGTGCTCAGGTGCTGAGGATAGGAGAAAAGGTGCAGGCCCAAGAAGCCGTCGACGTCATGCTCAACGGCGTCTAGGGCTAATCCCACCCACTGCAGTCGAGACGCACTTCTAGAGCTTGCTTCCCCGGCCTTCTTTGCAGGGAATGAAGCACCTGCCTTTTTATCACCCTCCCCTCTCTTTCCTGCTGTGTCTGTTTGTGGCAAGTGAATGCAGCCGTGCAGCACCCATGTTGCGAGCGTCTGTCGTGTGTGTCGTATATGCATGAACTATTTCAAGATGCATTTGAGGTAGAATGCATGTCACATGATTGCAAAGCTAAGCTGTGGGCAGCTCAGCTAAAATCTCCTTCTTCCTTTATCTCGTCTATTCTTGCTGAGCGCAGAATTCAATGCAGCCATGCCACGAATCTTTCGAGCCTGTGCTTAAAAAACACAGAATAGACAGACAGGCATATCACTCCGGGGCTTTCATGGGAAACCACATTCATAAAGCACTGCAGCCAGCCACATGCAAGGAAATAACCAGTGCTCCTCTACAGACAATGACAAACATCTTCAACACTGACAACTCACCATACATCCAGTACACACCACAACAACAAGACCTGCCAGATAGAGCATCAGCACTCCTAGACAAGTACAGCAGACTCTTCACGCAATACAAAGATTGTAGGGCAATCTTCGCAGTGTGCAATAAGATCACTCCTGACAAGCTGCATCAACTCTCTACGAACATTAAACTCTTCATGGCAACACTAAGGAAGACAGTCTACGACCAGAACAAGACTATAACGCCAAAAATGCACATGCTGGAGGCGCATACTGTGGACTGCATCAGTCAGTTCGGTGTATCCCTTGGACTGATGGGCGAACAAGGTGGTGAGTCCATCCACAAGTGCTTCAAGCACCTGAGAACATCCATCAGCAATCAGGGACGTGGACCGGCTCCAGGTACTAGTACACTTCTGGCAATATTTGAACAGCACGCTGCCAAGATACAACGCCATGAGGCTCCAGCCTGCAAAGCGGAAGCACTCCGACAAGTCAGCTAGTTGAGCACTGACAGTTGCTGTAAATGAGTATGCCGTTTGCATGTCAGAATCCAAAAAAGCTGATGACAATAACTATCATAGTAGCAAGGATGAAGGAAACTTTGAAAGGACATTGAAACGCGTCGCCAAAGGATGGCGGGTGGTGGTGGTGGGGAAAGGTAAGTCAGCGTAGGTACATTTACTAGTACTGGACTCTTCCACGCTCCGAACTTCCCAAGTCAACAATCAATATAATTATATGTACCGAGTTTCGAGCAGGACATACAATGTAGAATTCCTGTATGCAAAGTAATAATAGCTGATCCTGCATGCACAAGATCAGCATAATTTTATGAAATGCATCCAAAGCATTTTTGTTCTTACAAAAAAATCACCAAGTGCACCCACTCGCCATTTTGGTTACCGTAGATACAGTGGTCACGTGTACAGTGACACTTTTCGGCAAAAAGATCGGCCATCTTCAATACTTTCCAGCATGGAACAGCCGTGTCTTGTTGACCTAGTCACGGTGTCGTCTATTTTCCTACGCCCCCGTGGCTCCGTCAGACCTACCCGCTACTGAGGTCTACAAATCCAACAGAAAGAAAACATGTCTACCCCGCGGCCGCCTCTCACTGGACACTTGCTGTGGCGCCGTCAGCTGATTAGGTTTCATACACTCACCGTGTGTCATTTGCATTGGCTGGCATGTGGTGAGTAGTATGGAACAGGGGATTGCTGATTACATCATTCCCATAATCACCACTACATGCAGTATCAAGAGTACATGAACCAGAGTGTGCAACTGTGCATATCAGATCTGAAACAGTGCAGTGCAGTTCGTGCACCATGTCACCCTGATGAGGTCAGCCAAGCCGGGTTGCGTACAGCTCAAACTTTCGTGTTGCACAGCCCGGAAATCAGCCATGATTTTAGACGTCCTGCTTTAGGAGTTTGGTGTTCTTGTGTGACTGTGTGCGCTGAGGACACCCAGTCTACACCCACTACACTAACAACAAGGACCATTTTAAATGTATGTTGTGTATGCCGTGCGTTTACCCACCCTTCGGAAAAGATCCAATCGCTTCCCTCGGCTCAACACAAGCTTTTTAGGAGTATGGGCCCCAACGGTTAGTTCCTGGAACTTCCACGATTCGCGGCCTACACTCACCGTTATGCAACAACACAATTGGGCGCTTACCCGACGTTGCAACAACGCATTCTGAGTTGGCCGAGTTAGTGCGTAAGCCTCGCTAGCGCTGTTCCAAAATGACACCGTTTTCCAGACGACAAGGAAAGGTCATTCCAACGGTTATCATTGGCTCTCTCCCCATCACATGCCTACGAAAATACCCTCGGCAGGCCACCACTTCTGGGAAATCCTTCACTGCAAATACATTGTACTTGAATGGTGACAACTATTCATCACATTCTGGGAATGCAAAAATAATGGTGTCGGACATGTCGACAGTTCCTTCAGACTTTCACGGTTTTCATTCCCTCACACAAAAACTAAGACAACACGCTACATAGGGTGCACCGGTGGTAGATCTACATGTTGGCGTTCCTATGGGTGCGGAAAACTAGATCTACACTACACTCTACAGTTTGTAACCGAGTCAACAGTACACCAGTCTTGTCCAGCATAATCTCGGCTCGGATTTCTATCGAAATCAGACCAGTTCTTCGACTTCGGATCGGTTGTTCGGAAAGAGGGTGAGTTTCGGGCAGGCAGTGTGAAAAATCGGACGGTTTGGAAACACTGCCCGGGATGTTGATGGCCAATACGGACCTCATGATGGCACTATTATCGATCTTTGGTGTGATTACAACACTCTGCTAGTCTCTAGCCGGTATGCACACGTATGACTTCATTCCTGGCATACACATGTATGACTTCATTCCTGGCATACACATGTATGACTTCATTCCTGGCATACACATGTAACACTTCAGACTAAACTGCAAGTTCCGCATCCACAAGAGGGCCACCACCCTCAATGGCCAAGCCGTGCGTGCGTAAACACTGATACTGGTCGATGCAGCTCCTAAAAGCAATGGGAGATACGCAGCTGAAGCCGGCCCACGCCAGTACAGCAAATGTTACCAATAACTGGCCAAGAACCGAAAATCTCACTCCCTGCAACCATGTAGCTCGCAGAACAGGCCACAAGCTCCAATCACTAAGGACTGCGGGCTACAGACTGTACTGTAGTAGTAGACTATCATACATCATCTGATCAGTGCACTAGTGGTCGAAACTTTACGTACTGTAAAAGCCATTATTCTAACGAGGCGCATATATAACGATTTCCCAAAATTGACTAGTTTACGTGTACCAAAGGTAACGATTCTCACTCATTCTCAACGCTCAATAGGACAGTATATGTATCGATTTCAGTATAACGATTTCTATTTTAACGACAGATTTCTCCTCATTAACTCGTTAGAGTTGGCACTTCGTTATTATATAATTATGGCTTTTACAGTAATTAGAACATTCTGCAAATGAACTAAATCTGTAACGGAAATGGTAAAAGCGCAGAAAAAATATGTTCTCTATAATAATAATAAGTTACACAGAACTCGAAGACTAATAATAATATAGATGCTAGCAAAACTAAATCAAGCACCTTATTTTTAATCACCTTAAAATAGCGTATGAAATTATGATGGAATAAAAAAAAGTATAGGAAATAATACTGAAAACCCGGAAAATAGCACAAGCACAACGGATGAAACTGAATAATTTGACCATGGTTCGCACAGGGCCTTGAAAGCCTTAAAAGTGCTTGAATTTTGAAAAATCCTTCAAGGCCCTTGAATAGTTCTTGAATTTTGGAAAAAAGCGCTGAAAGGCCTTGAAAAGCATTGAAAAACGGTTTTTGTTCAAAAATGACACCTCAGACCGCGGTCACACATGTCTTTGGCGGGACTTCCACCTCCGCCGTAGCTGTGTGTGACCGCGGCCTTAGCCTTCTAAAAACGGTTACTTTTTTCAGTTTACGCTGCGCTTGTCGAACATTGAAAACAGCTTTTGGTCGACTCGGGCGTCCATCAATCACTTTTGTTTTGTTTCCTGTGAAATCAAGAAAATGGGCAAGTGCTCGTTTCAAGCGAAGTGGCTCGAGGAGCAGAAGTACCAGTCATGGCTGGCTGGCGATTTGGATAAACACCGTGCTCGGTGTAAGCTGTGCAGAACCACTTTCTCAGTCGCTGCCATGGGCGATGCTGCCCTTAGCAGCCATGCTGACGGGAAAAAACATCGTGAGATGCGTTCCTGCGCCAGCTCATCAGTTGGCACGAGATCGTTCCTGCCCCAGCAGCCGTCGTCGCCGTCGTCTACTGCAGCTGCTGCAGCATCAGCTGCTCCAAGTTCAACGTTGGTGCAATTCGTCAGCACTAGGGAGACGCTGAAAGCTGAGGTCCTCTGGGCTCTGACTGTCATTGCCAAAAACTTCTCGTTCCGAAGTTCGCAAGGAATGAGCGCCTTGTTTGCAGAGATGTTTCCGGACTCGGCCATCGCAAAGAAGTTTCGCTGCGGCGAGCGGAAGGCCAATTACATTGCCACGTACGCCATCGCTCCGTACCCCTGCAGACTCGAGAGAGATCATAATGATCATAATGGCCACTGGTCGGCCATGTATTATATTTCTATCTAAATATATATATATATGGTGAGGTCAGACTAACGTATGGTGATGATCGTGTTGTGTGCGGGGGGGGGGGATGAGTGAAAAATGATGGGAAAATGGGCCTTGGAAGGGCCTTGACATTTTTCTCTGTGTTTTTGTACGAACCATGAATTTCATGTGATCAAGCTTTCAGAGCATGAGTTCCACAGAGGTGGACGGACAAACAAACAAACAGAATCTAAAGACGAAATCCAAGACCAACTCTCCAACAAGAGGACTGGAACAATCAAGAACTTTCTAGACGAACAATCAAGAACTTTCTAGACGAACAATCAAGAACTTTCTAGACGAACAATCAAGAACTTTCTAGACCTTTCTCAACAAGCCGGGGCAAAGTACTAACACTGTAGTCCGTCTCTTGCTTCACCTAGCTGCAGCCATTTTGGCCTGATGGGATTTGAGACAATCCATGGAGCAGTACTTCATGTCGTACTTGGAAAATGGCGTCACACCTTCCAGGCTGCGCCCACACAGTCCACAGCAATTGCTGTAAAGAACAGAGCAAGAAGTACACGCAGAGAGAGAGAGAGAGAGAGAGAGAGAGAGAGAGAGAGAGAGAGAGAGAGAGAGAGAGAGAGAGAGAGAGAGAGAGTCATGTCAACGTAACCAGAGGAAATCAACTTTGAGTCGAGAGCCCCTTTCAAATTCTCACTGGTAGGTGTTGCTAAATAAACGTACTCTATACGATTAGGCACAGTAGCAGGAGGAGCAGCAACAGCAGCAGCACGTTTGCTGTCACTACCACCGTGCAACAGACACCGCCGCTGCCGCCTGCAGCACTCTGACTCACCTATTGGACAGCTGCTGCGCTTGAAGACGACGCTCGGCGGCCAGTGCTCTCTAGACGGTGGAGAGAAAGAAAAAAAAAGAATATGTACATCAGTCGACACTCCAGATAGTCGGACAAAAGGGCATCCACAATTTACTGAGTGGCGCTGAACACACTCCTCCAGAGGTTTTGTAGGAATCCTATCCCAATGAGTTGCTCACCTTTTCTCTGTCACTAAGAGCTGCGTACCAGCGCTTCTCCTTCTCCTCTTCCTGTCGCTTCTGCTGCTCCTCTTCCAAGCGCTTTGCCTCGGCCTTCTTCTCCTACTCAGCAAGCAACAAAGGTGTGAGAGGTTGAATGTGGGTCAGGTCAAATTCTTTAATTTTCATTTTTTTTATTAAGTGAGTTCTCAGGTTCGAGTACCCTGGGCCTCAGCAACAACTAGCTCAGCAGACTCTGTTTTAACATTAAAAGAAAACCTGCTACGTGTACAGAAGCCCTTCGCCCTTCTATGAAAGACCATTAGACCAAGACTCGGAACGGAGTTAAACATTCAATTCAGCAGCAGGCAGACAGTTCTTCTCTGATATCCCGGTGCCCAGCGCCTCGCCGTGTTCCTGTCCGCTCACCTTTTCTTTCTTCTGCCGCGTCTGTCGCTGCTGCTTTCTCTTCTCGGCCTTCTTCCTTTCACGATCCGCTTCCACATCGTCCGTCAATGGCGCATCAACCTTGATCAACAGGTGAAGAAGAAGTAAGAAATTAAAGTGCAATATTTCATTATGACGGACAAATGAACAGTTGACAGGGTGAGTAACACATTTCCACAATCAAAAAAGAAAAATGACAACCGCTGGAAAGACGGCAAAGACTGTACTAAACTGCACCGCCAAACGCTATTCCTACGCAATGGGAGCTGCGATCATGGGTGTTCACCAAATCAAATGTAAATAGCCTGGCTGGCACTAGCAATGCAATCACATGTACACATGAATAGAGCTACCCGGATCAGTGCAAAAAAAAACACGGGCAAGAAGCGAACAGAACTGCGCGCACACGCCATGCCTCACCCCAGCGGCCTGATAGTCGTAGCGATCCGGGTGCTGTCCCCGAAACCGCCGGAACGTGTCGCGAACGGTCTTGTCCTGTGCCGCTGCGTACGCCTTGCTCTCGCGCTTCCCTCTGCAAGCACATACGTGCAAAGATAATAATACCAGTCAATGGCAGTCATACATACAGTGCTGTCTGTATGTATAGTCTGGTGTAGGGCAGTTGAACATCTATCACATGACCATACAGGGCAGCCATGTTGGCACCAACTCCACTCAACCCCCTGCAGCTACGGGTCACGCAATGTCGGCCACGTTGGCTCCACTGTTCACACGCCGTGATCACTTTCTGCACAAACGCAGTCACACGACAAAGATGTGAAACCACCCCATTCTCTTCATCAGAACCAATCTGCCCCTACACAACACGTAACCGCATCAGCACCTAAGCAGCACTGGCCAAATCGGCCACATCCGTGCTAGATCTAGTTTCTAATTGTGGTATCATATGGACACTACAAGTGCATGTGTATGGGCATGTACATGTGAAGACACGAAGCACAGAAGCAATAATTATAGTTTCTACTAGGCCTTTCGTGCCATTGTTTTTCAAGTCAAATACAGTGGCGATTGAAGCCGCAGCAAGCAAGTTCTCATATCCGGCACTTTGGCAGTCAGCACAGTGACAAAAATAGCACCTAAAAAGCGCTATCCACGTCAACTACATAGCGATGCATGTACATGCGCATGTGCACTCACTTGGATCCAGGATCAGAACCACACTCGAGCAGTAGCTGAACAACACTCGCCTGGGCTGATTCTGACGCCACCACCAGGAGGCGTCGCTCCGCTGCGCCCACGGCGGAGTTAAGCAGCTGCTGAGTGTGGGCCGAGCTGAGGACGGTGTCGACGTCAAAGTCCACCACCACCGGCGGCTGTGAGCAAGAGCGTGCCAGGGCCGGCGATGCAGCAGCGGGTGCAGCAGTGCCATTGTCATCTTGATCTACAAGCAAGCACTGATCTGCATTGCTGGCACCGGTATTGGAAACGTGCGCTTCGGCGACAGCCGGAGCATCCGACGGGCTAGGGTTAATTGAAGAGCCGCTGCAATCACCAGACAATGCCGCCGCGTCCGCCGACGCTGAGCTCTGGCCAGCGCCCGGCTCAGTATCAGCGGTGCAGTGCCGTTGCTCCTCCTGGCCATGGCTAGCATCATGAGAAACTTCGCTGTTACTCGTGCAGCTTGCGTGTGATGCGGTGGCCACAGCGGTGGCAGTGCGCTGTGTCATCGTACACTGCATCAACAGAGACTTGAGCACGGGCACGTTTCCAGTACGGCAGGCCGTCAGCAGCTGGTCACCGAACACAACGAACTCGTCTGGAAAGACAGACAGGCATGCACACATATATACATGTGTAAACGAATTCCTCGGCTGTCCATCGCTTGATGACGTGTGTGTATACACTAATACGCGTGTAAAATGCATAAAACTCAGAGTAGCAACTAACTAGCCTTGATTGCCCTTGTTCAAGTTGTTGTTCTGTGTGTATAATGTACATGTATGCATAAAAGCACAACTCATAACAGACCAGACTACTAGTACACCTTAGAACAAAGCACTCTAACCAACCAGCTACAATAATGGCACACAGTCAACTTCGCGTATAACGACACTCGGCGGGGCATCAGAAAAAATGTCCCTATTCGCGAAGTGTCCTTATACCCGAAGTCTCATTTATATGTATTACAGTTAGATGGGGCTTTGCTCTGGGCATGGAAATTCTGTCGTTATTCGCGAATTGTCGTTATATCCGCAGTATTATTAGCAAAGTTGAGTGTACTATCCCAATGCAATTACCGTCATTACAATCGCGTTGTCCAAACAGTACACACCACTTGTACATTATTGCTACACAACATCACCAGACTAACCAACGACAACATGCTGAGCTTGCTTGTCACTGTCCGATGCCTCGCGACTTGACTTCTTGTTCTTGCCCCCTCCACGCTGTTTCTTCCTTGACGCCGAATGCCCATCGGCAAAAGACAAGCTGCCACCAATAGGTGGCCGTCCGTTGCCAAAGTCAACCACCAGCTCCTGCAGGCGGTCGGCAAGATCGATGGTTTCTTCGGTGGTGGACAGCTCTGGAATGTCATCGCCGCTATTTTGAATGGTGTCTTCCACGGTGGAAGACGTTGTAGGGTCGTCCAGGGTGGAGTTTGTCGCGGTCGTGTCGCTCTTGAACACGTCCATGTCCGACGGCAGCTGCTGGTAGCGCGGATTCTCCATGCGATGACGCTCTCGGCGGGTCAGACTCGCCTGCGGTGACGAGGACGGCGGGGTTCTAGAACCGGCAGCCGATCCGGGCGATGGCGATCGCTTGTCCTTGTCTTTGGCGAAAACGCTCTGGGAGCGTACCGTGGGTGGCGTGGCAAGGCTGTCCTGGAAGTCCGAGACAAGACCTGAAATGAAGGGGAAACACACACACACACACACACACACAAAGCTAGTGAGTGCCGTTGCCAGTAGTGTCCGAATGCAATGCATGCTACAGAGTATAAACAGGCAGAAGAACGAGCAGTTGCGGTTTCGTAACTCTGAGTTTCACGAACTGAATCGATCATCAGACGGAAATTGATACTGACCCTGCCCTGAGAGTACTGCTATATACCATGAATGTGGCAAGCCCAGCATAACAATATAACAACTAATAAACAGTAATCTTGAAGAGTGGACTCAGATGGAGAGCCAAGGTTTAATTTACACAAAAGAGAAAGACCAAGGAACTACAAGTTACGCTATACTGTCCACTAACACCACCAGTTACTAAACAATCAGCTCATGCGATAACATTGCACGACACTGACCGGCGGTACTGACGTTCTACAACTAACTGGCTAACAGCTCTATAACTAACTTAGAACCTTCCAAGTTGGAAGGCTGTTGGAGTGCGCATCCAAGATGTGCTAGAGCTGTTAGCCAGTTAGTTGTAGAACGTCAGTACCGTCGGTCAGTGTCGTGCAATGTTATCGCATGAGCTGATTGTTTAGTAACTGGTGGTGATAGTGGACAGTATAGCGTAACTTGTAGTTCCTTGGTCTTTCTCTTTTGTATAAATCTTGAAGAGGAAAGCGAAAAAAGAAAACACACAAAACAGGCAATACATACTCAGGAAAACCCTTCTCAAACAGCCAACTGAGACCACCTGATCACTACAAGCAGTCTTCCTTTGGCACCAAATGTGTAGAAAGTGCTGCAGCCACCTTGGTCAGTTGCAAAGATTGTATGTCATCAAGAATGAACACAGTACAGCATCAATCATTTTTTTCAAAATAAAGGATGAAAACTTTACACGTTCGTGTGCCACTGTGGTCGCATCCTTTCGCGATGTCGTGCAATCTGATATGACACTTGACAGGCTGTACGTACGGGACTGCCTGGCTGCATGTAGGCCGCCGCGCACCAGGCCCCTACTGCACTACAACTTACTAGTACAATGCACAAGACACAGGTGCAGGATGTGCTCCCGCCAGGTCGGGCTTTCCGCAATACATTGGTGACTTTTCAAAACCCCGGTCGAAATATTTTTGGGGGTGCACTTGCCCCCTGTGCCCCTCGCCCCTGCCTTCCATGACACTAAAACGGCCAACAATACATTTGAGACAAGTCAACGCATGGGTTCATGGGTAGGTGGGCTGTGAGACTGACCGTGCGGTGTGAGCGTGAACAGATTAGTGTGGACGCGCTGAACCTCCCTGAACGTTGGCCGGCGCGTCGGGAACGGGATGGTGCGAATGCGAGGAGAGCCTGGAGTAGCACATGACAATGGACAGAACCAGCAGTTAATAATTATTTACAAACTGTATAAGCATCTCTGCATCTCTGACTCCACAAAGGACGAAACAGTTCGGTCTGCAGATTGAGTAAGCATCTCTGCATGTAAATTTTATAATTATTATTCACACATATCCGCCGGATCAGCACGCATGGACAATGTAAAATAGGGATCCACGAATACAAACCAGCACAATGTTCCCTCAGCAATACCAGCAAGCAAAGAGAAGTGAGGAAAGGAGAATGATCGAAAACTCCGCATGATATGCAAGTGGTAGTAACACTTCCGCCCAGGTCACGCATATAATTATATGCCATAAGGAAGATACAGTCCTGATAGAGGACAGCCAGTGCATGCAGTGAACCACAGAAGCAGCTAAGTTTAATTCAATGTAAACAAATGGGCATGGAGCATTAGGCTATTAAAGCGAGGAGTCCCCCAAACGGTTATCACCACAAGTACAACATCAAGTTTACTCGTTCTGAAACAGCTTCCTGAGTACTGTAAAAGCAGAAATTTTCGGTGGTGTAATACTTTCGGTATTCTCCAAAATCGGCGGTTCGGTAGAGGGAAATTTTCGGTAAAACCTGTTTTACAGGTACTAGTAAGTGTACTAGTACTACATGTGTACAGTATCGGTTGTACCGAAATTTTCGGTGCGTTTTATTTTCGGAAAAATTGTCGGCACCGAAGTTACCGAAAATAAAACACCACCGAAAATTTCTGCTTTTACAGTAGTAGAGTACCAGACTACCAGTCCATGTTCAATAGTACACGCATGCCCTTTGCTCTTGGACTTCACATCCCTGTGTTCACTTTAACCTAGTGCAGGAAGAGACCGAATAAACTAGTGCAGGGGAAGAACGAATAATCCTACTGCTAGACGTTGCAACTGCAGCTGTACATGTATATGCATCGTACACACGACCAGCATAGCACAACACAGAACAACAGCTCAACTGACCTTTCTCCAACAGCGGCGTGCGCCCGGCGAAGAACACGGGACGCTGGTAGAGAGGCACGCGCAGGAAGATCAGCGACGCGGCGGCGATGTGCTCCGACCACTGCTGGAAGAGCGCGGCCACTTCCAATTTCAGCGCCGCTTCATTGTGCCGACGGATGTTAGCACCTGCAGACCTGAAGATGAGAATAAAACAGTAAACAGGAGCAATGAGAAATATATGCAGAAGTCTACAGCGTTCACCTACATGGCAGGATTAACACTTGAACTTGCGTCAGCCCCAAGTTTACAAGCAAACAAGTGTGCTTCAAACTAACTAGCCAAGCAAGGCTTACATACAACTAACAAGGTGTAAGCTCAGCTGGTAAGGGGTGAGCACTCCGATACACTGTGCATGGAGCGGGGACTGGTCAGGTGTGTTCTTGCAAGCTTTGCTGAGTCGAAGACTCGATGGGTTACTCACACACTCTGGTTGGCAGATATGAGTGAGTCCAGAGTCAAGTCAGAAGCCTAAAGTCCAGCATTGAGAGAACTGAGTTTCTACCATGACTTACTTACATGTCCGTTCATACTGTTTCCGTGCAGAGACAAGAGATAGGAAGGTGCATGTATACGTGCATGTGTATGCGCTATGTGCATCAAGTACTTTTCAGGCAGTTCACAAACCTCTCCTTGCATGTGTATAATGTATGGCTTAACGTGCACACCCACACACAGACACACACAAACACACCATTGGACCATTGGACGCCCATCGCCGGAGGCGATGATAGCGATGCTACAGCAGAAGCCATAGCAGCTTGTGCTGGGATTGCACCATTCAACAGCTTGCAAGGCTGAAGAATTGACCGCCACTATTCAGCCTGGTCTACACCACACAGCTATGAAGTGGCTTTTTCTGGCCAGTGAATCCTTGCATGTGTATAATGTATGGCTTAACGTGCACACCCGCACACAGACACACACACACACACACGCACACACAGCACACACACACGCGCGCGCGCGCACACACACACACACACACACACACACACACACACACACAGCACACATGTACACAAGCGAGCGCGGGCACATCAACAGACCTACAGACAGACAGACATACACAGAGACACACATACAGACATACACAGAGACACACATACAGACATACACAGAGACACACATACAGACATACACAGAGACACACACACACACACACACACACAGTACACAAGTATACAAGCAAGCACACAAACACTGCCAAACAGTCAGACAGACAGACAGGCACACCGACACACACACACACACACACAGATGGCATGCTTACTTGGCATGGTGGCCTTGCGAATCGTGCACGCTCTGCGCCGTGCCACGCTTGGCACGCACGACATAGCGATGGAACGTTTTGTGTACTACAACGGTGGACCTGTATCAGAAAAAATCAACAGCAACATTATAGTCACACAAATACTGCACCAGAGATGAGAGGTCTCATGACATTGGGCACCATGAGTGTACATCCGCATATATTTCACTTGCCACGGCGACACAGTGGCCCTTCTGTAATCCTGTACCAGTTGACCAACAGAAATTCTACTGCTTTATGGAGGGTGCTGGATTATCAAGTGCGGCGCTAACAACGGGCAGCAGTACAGTTTTAGGAGTACAGTAAAACTCCCCTGATACGGGGCAAGTTGCACTGGCCAATTGCCCGGAACTCAGAACATACATGTACTGTACAAACACAGAACAACAAGGGCAAGGCTAGTTCGTCGCTACTCGGAGTTTTATGCTTTTAAAACTTGTACTTCAAAAGTACTGTACATAAGTTACTTACTGCGTGCAAGCAAACATTTATTTCACGCCAATCAATAGTTTTCGGGCCGTTTTTTGTTGAAAAACCTATTTTCGTGACTCTATAAGGAACAGAAAGGTGCCCGACCCGGTAGACGGACATGCCTGGATTTGGGTTTTTTTACTGTATGTGCGCAAGCAACGTGAAATAAGAGGTGCAAAGAAATTGAAAGAATGATCATGTGCCTTGCACGTCGTCGTCCTCTCACCCATTGAAGACAGCGCCGGCAAAGTGACCAGCAGAGAGCATGATGATCACAGTGTACATGGGCTTGGCTAGGAGCCTGTCCACTTGCTGCTTTAGCTGATCATTATCGTATGATACCTGACACAGACACATACATACACACAAAGAGGGATACACACACACGCATGCACAAACGGACACACACGGACACACACACACACAAACAGATTTGGGTCTCAAGGACTTTGCCTGAATATCGAGCCCAGCGGGCTTTCTCATGCCAGAGGAGATGGACACACACACACACACACACACACACACACACACACACACACACACACATGCACACACACACATGCGTACACACATGCACACACACACACGCACACACACACACACACGCGCACACACACACACACACACACACACACAGATCACCGTACCTTGGAAGGATTGACCAGAACCCTGTGGATGGAATACACAGAACCGCCAGCCTCCAGGAAGACCTTATTGCCGGCCCTACTAGTAACGGACTGCGCACCATCCTCGTTGTCACTATCCTGATCCGGGGCATTGGATATCGGCTTCTTCTTGCCGTGTGGTGCAAGATCCTCTCCATCAGAATCGCAATCGGAACCAGATATACTGGACACCCCACCTGAACGGCACGGCACGCAGAGAGAGATACGCACACAGACAAGACACACACACACATACACAACAGTCAACAATGGCCATGAGACTTAGGACAAGTCAAAGTGACAAAGAGCTAAAAAGCAGTACAGCGGAATCTCATACAAGGGGACACAGGGGAAACAGGCCAGGATCCCTGCTGTAGGTGGGAATGTGACTCGCGTATCACGATCACAACAATGTGATGGATTGCACATAGTCAGGGTCGAAACCGTGCCCTGGGTCGAAGCCGTGCCCTGGGTCGAAACCGTGCCCTGGGTCGAAACCGTGCCCTGGGTCGAAGCCGTGCCCTGGGTCGAAGCCGTGCCCTGGGTCGAAACCGCGCCCTGGGTCGAAAGCGCACCCTGGGTCGAAATCGTGCCCTGGGTCGAAATCGTGCCCTGGGTCGAAGCCGTGCCCTGGGTCGAAGCCGTGCCCTGGGTCGAAACCGTGCCCTGGGTCGAAACCGTGCCCTGGGTCGAAACCGTGCACTGGGTCGAAACCGTGCCCTGGGTCGAAACCGTGCCCTGGGTCGAAATCGTGCCCTGGGTCGAAAGCGTGCCCTGGGTCGAAAGCGTGCCCTGGGTCGAAAGCGTGCCCTGGGTCGAAAGCGTGCCCTGGGTCGAAAGCGTGCCCTGGGTCGAAACCGTGCCCTGGGTCGAAACCGTGCCCTGGGTCGAAACCGTGCCCTGGGTCGAAACCGTGCACTGGGTCGAAACCGTGCACTGGGTCGAAACCGTGCCCTGGGTCTAAACCGCGCCCTGGCTCGAAACCGCGCCCTGGGTCGAAAGCGTGCCCTGGGTCGAAATCGTGCCCTGGGTCGAAGCCGTGCCCTGGGTCGAAACCGTGCCCTGGGTCGAAAGCGCGCCCTGGGTCGAAATCGTGACCTGGGTCGAAATCGTGCCCTGGGTCGAAATCGTGCCCTGGGTCGAAATCGTGTAAACCGCGCCCTGGGTCGAAACCGCGCCCTGGGTCGAAACCGTGCCCTGGGTCGAAACCGTGCCCTGGGTCGAAACCTCGTGCCCTGGGTCGAAATCGTGCCGTGGGTCGAAACCGTGCCCTGGGTCGAAACCGTGCACTGGGTCGAAACCGTGCACTGGGTCGAAACCGTGCACTGGGTCGAAACCGTGCACTGGGTCGAAACCGCGCCCTGGGTCGAAACCGCGCCCTGGGTCGAAACCGCGCCCTGGGTCGAAACCGCGCCCTGGGTCGAAACCGTGCCCTGGGTCGAAACCGCGCCCTGGGTCGAAACCGCGCCCTGGGTCGAAACCGCGCCCTGGGTCGAAACCGTGCCCTGGGTCGAAACCGTGCCCTGGGTCGAAACCGCGCCCTGGGTCGAAACCGCGCCCTGGGTCGAAACCGCGCCCTGGGTCGAAACCGTGCCCTGGGTCGAAACCGTGCCCTGGGTCGAAACCGTGCCCTGGGTCGAAACTGCGCCCTGGGTCGAAACCGTGCCCTGGGTCGAAACCATGCCCTGGGTCGAAACCGTGCCCCGAGTCGAAACCGTGCCCTGGGTCGAAATCGTGCACTGGGTCGAAACTGCGCCTTTGGTCAAAACCGTGCACTGGGTCGAAACCGTGCCCTGGGTCAAAACCGTGCCCTGGGTCGAAACCGTGCCCTGATTTCGGAGGTATGTGTCGTTGAGGACTACCTGCCAGTCTTGATCTGTTTCATTCAGGTCTTGTCCGCTATTGTTGCTGTCAAAGCAAGGCGTACTGTTCTACAAGTACATCACTGTGTGAGGGCTACCCTGTTGCGATAGCTACGCCAGCAACTCTTATCGGCGATGGTGCCATCGTGAGAATAAAGAATTCAAAAAACCAACCGGACGTGTATGCCGACGATTCAACCTGCAGATCAGGCGTGTACAGCGCTGCCCTATGAAACTCGATCATGCGAGTCATGTCTTCGCCCAGCACACGTGCACAGCCCGCGGTGTTCACAGGCCTGGGGTTGTACGGCGACCGGCATGTGTGTGTGTGTGTGTGTGTGACATTGGCTCGCATGATCGGGTTTCATTGGCCAGCACTGCACATTGTATTCTAAACATGTCCACACAAAAAAAGGACTCTGTGTTTGACGATGACAGCATGTTACAAGGCGGAGGACACACTGCGTTGAGAACAGTGCTCCTGGCTGCAACCATAAACCAATTAGCCAAGTCAACATGCTGTCATCGTGGAACATGTTAACCTATCAATCAAGGCGTCCATATACTAGTACTTGAAGTACTGTGTAGCGAACACACACTAACACTAGTACTATAGCACTCACTGCCCAATGCGATTTCATCAAAAACGTCTTCCGTCACTGCGGGCCGGCCAGCCAACTGCTGGCGCAAGTTGAATCGGTGCCAGTCCAGGCGTGCATGCTCCACCTGCGTAAAAAGAAAGACCGGCAAGCAAGCATACATACATGCAAAGAGGCATTGGTATGGCGACCAGCCTTAGAACTACAGTCGACTCCGCGTACAACGAACTCACGTATAGCGACTTTCGTGACATAGCAAACCATTGTTCCTGTGCCTCTTTGAACCCATACAATATTAACCCAGTGTCTGCTCCAGCGCCGGGTGAGCCGGGTAATCCACCCGGTTGGGCGGTGCTTGGACCCGGTTGAAAATATAGTACCGGGTCACCTGTGACCCGGTTGGTACTGTCGAACTTTGACGGGACTGACTGTGACATGGCTTGTATGTGTCAGATACTTCTTCTTCTTTCGTAATTTTCTAATTCCTGTCCTCTCTTTTCTATTTGCGGCTTATCCATTCGCCTTTATATCATTGAGCCTAATTCCCGTTTATTGTCCGAATTAAAAGAAACCAACCAACCAGGCTACCGACCCGGTTGAAATGGTTGCGCCAGGTACACGTGTACCCGGCTGTCCTACAATCCTAGAGCAGACACTGTAACCATAGTAGTGAACAGTTCTCGCTTATAACAAACCATATCTTGTCGGGTCGCATGTAAACCGTGTACAACAAGAATAAGAGGGTGAAAAAAGTGTTTTTACTCCGAGTTTCACGCACTAAGCGATCATCAGAATTCAGAAATGAGCAAATCTGGATACTGGTTCATAAACCGAGTACATGTATATAATCATATTGCAGGGGCGTCGGACACGGTACGGTCACTACGGTATTGACAGTACCACTTTTTTTCCCCAGGTACCCCGTGAATCAATAAAATACCCTGATCTGGAATCTAAATTTCCAAAAATTTCGGCTCCGCCATCCCTCCCCCACGAGTAAATTGTACTTCAGATGACTGACCGTACCACACTAAAATACCTTCCGACGCCAATGAATTGTGTATATAAGTATAACAGTCATGGGCCACAGGGCGTTGCTTGCATGCTGTGAGTGCATTTCTCTTCTAAAGAACTAATTCTCCTGCACAATGGTATTCGCTAATTCAGGAGTCGACTACGCAGAAAACTGGTCTCCATAGCCGGGTGTTGTTGATACATGCATGCAGCACAATACCAATGGTAATGCATGGTCTGGGATCTGACATGGCTGGTCTCCTGCTGCTACAGCGGCCTAATAAGACACAGGTTTAACCATATGCACAGACACGCACGCACGCACCATGTACATACACCCACCCACACGCGCAGACACGCACTCGTGCGCACCCGCATCCACACCCATACTATATCAGTATATGGGCAATAGACACACCCACCCACCCTTGACCTTGATACACATTGCCTTGGTCCCACCTACCCACCCACACACACACGCACACACACACACACACACACACACACACACACACACACCCACATACACACACACACACACACACACACACACGTACACACACGTACACACGCATTCTATTCAAACCAAAAGTGGGCAACAGTACATTGTACGTTTTGTTTGTCCAAGGATCAACATCAATGCTCCTTCACTCACCTGAGCGTTACGGGATGCAAAGCGAATGTCGCATAGGATACACGTCAAGCCTGTGGCCCACACGCATACACACACATACACACACACACACACACACACACGCACACACACACACACACACACGCACACGCACACACACAAATATTCATGCAGCCGCAAACATTATTGTACACAAGCGGACGTCAATCTAGAAAACCAAAAAGTGGATCGAGGGTAAGGTGCGAGTTAGACACAGTCAGCCTACCCCTATAATTAATATTGCAATAACCCTTGGTTTTTTGATTTTTTTTCCTGCCAAACTAAATCTCTACAATGACATAAACATGTCTGTAACTCTACTCTAGTGGGCCCTACAACGATTTGATACGGGTTGACCAATTGATTTTTCTTTCTCCTTTAATATACCTAACAAGCACATATGCACGGACACACACACACACACACACACAAGCGCGCACACACAAGCGCGCACACACACACACACACACACACGCGCGCGCGCGCGCGCGCACATTTTTAAATTATACACACACCTGAGGCTGAAGCGGGTGAGCTTTCAACAGGCCTCGGGCCGTCCGTCATTACGCTGGCCATTGATGAACGATCATTGGGCGAGTGAGACGAGGTTGTTACTTGTCGGATACAACCCTCCGAGTATAATGAGCAGCACGACAGCATGTGCCGAGTACCTTTATCGTTCAACGATAGCATGCTGACCAATATGCAATGTACCGAACCAAAATTGGAAGAAGTTCTAGCTACACAGACATTAGCAACTCAAAGCAGGACAATACTGTCACTCTAATGGCAATGCTGGGCTGGTATTGCCTGGGTCGCACGAAATCGCCAACAAGCCAATACTGCAATAGGTAGACAAAAATATAATGCAGCACTACCGACTAGACTGTCGACATGTCATTCAAACTGATATGAACTGAAAATACCGTGTTGGTAATGCATGGGAATGAATGGGTACAGTAGGGACCTTTCGCATTTGCTACGAAACGAATGCGAAACAAAAGTTTGATTCGGCTCGTAATCGTTTCGTTGAAAACAGATTTCAGGTTTCGCAAGTCGTCATGCAAATGTGCATGGCAACTACGAATACGGCCGCGGGCGCCGGTAGAAGGCGTACGGGTTTTTACACGCACACGTGCATGGATCATGGAATCAAGGGAAAAATGTGTACCTTGCAAAACATGTGTACCTATCCAAATAAATGTGTACCTGACGGATTCGGAGCGTGCCACGAATGAAGAGGCCTCCATTCGTGAAAACGAGTTCTCCGCAGGGACTCTGACGAATCCTCGAACCCAGGTGACGAATCAGCATTCGTTTCGTATCCGTCCGCGGGGTGCGAAAGGTCCCTAATTACCAGTTTTACTAACTCGATATAGCTGACGCGTCGACGTCAAAAGAGAAGATGAAATGACGTAAATTGACCCATACTGCACTGCAGTACTGATGCATGAATCATGATTCAGCGCTCGCGCTTTATTTCAAAAAGCAGTGTGGCACTTCACCGTCTTCAGCGCGGGAAACGTCGTCATTTTCGTCCTTTTCAGAGTGTGGCCTGTGCCTGTGAGGCTGTGGTTGCAGACTTTCGCAGTCGAGTCATCTGTGTGGTCGTTGTGTGGCAGTTCTGCGATTTGTCTTTCGACACCTAGTACATGTACCTGACTGCTGTGCTCTCTGTGTAATGCACGTAACAGTAAACTGTCGTTCCCTGAGACTCTGACTCTGAGGCATTTGGATAATATCATCCAAGATGAGGTACGTCGCTTTTCTGAAATGGTCTAAACAAATTCTCACTTAAAATTAAGCAAGGGCCAGGGGCAATGCGGAGCATATGAAATGCACGTCACATCATGAGTACATTTGCCATTCAAATTTCTTCTATATAATTATTATGAGGTTTCTGTATGCACTTTTAAAACCCATACTGATAGGCATTTTGCCACTCCGCTAGCTCCCAGTTTTGAAAGGCGGATTTGACGTCGTTCCCACGATATCCTGATCTATTCAAGTGCTCTTCAGCCTTTCAGGAGCAACATCAACCCAAAAAGGCACGCTGTCACAGTGATCTACAGTACCGTAAAACCTGCGGTGACCGGGCGCCCTTTTGGGCTTGGTGCAGCGGAAACCGTCCTGATATGACAGGACCGAGGATTCCACTTAGACTTAGTACAGGGTCCGGTGAACGCAGGCTTTACTGTACTTCAATTGCACATGTGTGAGGTATCGTAGAATCCCGCGGATAAGCCCATGGGCTTATCTGTTTCACAAGGACATTTCGGTGGGCTTATACGAGAACATGGGCGTGTACGCGGGCATGGGCTTATACGCCGACACCAACATTGTGCTATTGAAAAGTATCAAGGAAGTGAGAAGTACATTGCTGAAAATCACTGTGCAAACAAAAACAACCGATGGTTGTGCTGAAATGTACAAAAAAAAAACTACATGGACATGTACTACGTACATGGTATGACCAAGAGTCCATAATTTATGGACTCTTGGTATGACCCACTGTAGGCCCGTGGGCTTGTACGATGAAGCTTTGTGATGTTGGAACTAACCCTGGGCTTATGCGCGGGCATGGGCTTGTCCGCGGGATTCTACGGTATTTAGAGAGGTGACTGACTGGCCTAACTTAAAACTTTAAAAAACTTTTCTGTCATGTTTTATGCAGTAAACGCAGGGTTGAGAGGCGGCAAGAGCCATCCCAGAAGGTCTTGTGTGGTGCCAGCCGAAGTTTCAGTAAGTGTCCACAAAGTATGAAGCTCGCATGGATAACAATCATACGTTGCATGTTATTGTTTATACAATGTATTCAAAAATGGGTGCAACCGCGACGGGATTGATTCCCACTGACATTTTGATCATAGCTGCCTAGACGGCAAGGCATGTTAGAAAACAATAGTGTGAAATAGCCGTGGTTGGCTATAACACCCTGCAATCGCCACGCAAAGTACTAAGTGGTCATCGGCTACCCCAGCCATGTATTTCTTGGAGTAAAACTAACTAAATTATGACGAGGCTAAAATAATACAGCTGATTTGTGGACGATGTCACGCTGTGTCCGCTGCACTGTTGTAGATGATCCTAATCATGTCTGCTGATCGTGCTGTAACCTGCACAAGGGAATAAGACCGTCAATGCACATGACAGTATTAAACAAGTAGTTACTTTTGCTAGTTATGCATACTGGTTGATAAGAGAGGAAGAAAGTCAACGCTTTAGTTCATCGTCTTGACCGCGCGCACAATTGAGTCCCACTTCTGTTATGCTGTGTCCAGATCTCAAGACTCGTGCAATTCCAGGCGCAAAGCAGGCCGATGCAGGGGCGCCAGTGGTTCCGCCTTCGCGTCCTGTTTCCTGGGGATCGAGCGAAGAGCCCACGACGAGAGAACTCATTGTGTACGCTGCTCTTGCGGTCATTGCCGCCGGGGAAGACTACTCGAGACCACGTCATTCATCCCATTCACTGTACAAATCAGCAGAAACACTTGCGAACCTATTCCTGCCAGCTGACCAGATAGTGACCAGCAACCAGCTCTTCAATTATTTCAACCGAGCGAAGAGAGGAGATGGACAGATCGGAAAATATCGCGGTAAGCTCAGGACAGCGCAATTCCGCCCCTGTGTAACAACAGTGGAAAGTGCGTGCCGCGGTATATTCTCGAAGGCAGCTGAAGAGCCAGCTACTGTGGACAGTGAGTCGATTTGCGCGGTCCGATCGGCAGCAACCACTGCCGTGAGCCAATGGCGAACACGCCTTACACAGACTACTGGTAGCTCAACTAAATGCAACTTTGGTGTGGCAGAGATCTCTCACCACGTTTCCAAGTAAGAAGTCCTTTTTTAAAGTCACACTAGCTTCAAGACGTACTGTACACACATGACTGCACTATTGCTACAGTGCTGCCCAATGAAATCCAGTCGTGTCACTCAAGTACGCGCCGGGCGTTGCGCAGCCCTAGGCCTGCGAACACTGGGCTGTAAAATGGTGCAAGGCGCAGACTTGAGTGACGCGACTGGATTTCATTGAGTAGCACGGTAAAGTCAATGCGTAGTGTATGAAGACACCTTTTTTTTTCAAATGAAGTCCCATTCTTAGGAAATTTGGCCACCTGTTCACTGCCTATTTTCTCTCCGAAACAAGTCACAACGTATTGTACATCGTGGGTTACAGTGCAAGTTTGAAGATGGAGATGGGTTAGCATTGTTTTCCGCCTTATTTTATTTATTATTTATCTAGACTATTCACAATCACATGGCACCAGCCAATGAAGATATGATGTGGGTGATGGCCAGCCATGGCGACAGTAGAGGACCCTGGGGAAAAAGAGACATGAAAGTGGGAACAGAAATGTACGAATAGCTTATTGACGTATTGTACAATAGCAATACAGTCAGACCTCGCTTAACCGCACACATCCGTTTTCCACAAAAATGTCCGGATAGGCGAGGGAACCGGATAACCGAACACCAGTCATGTAGGATGCATTGCGTATGCTGTGGATCTGTGGATAGCGAGGGATCCGGATAAAAGAGGACCGGATAAGCGAGGTCTGACTGTAAATAACTTAGGATAAAATGTAATGCTGCCGCCATCACCACACGTACACATCAACGAAATCGTAAAGTTTTCCAAAATAATGTTGTCTCCATGTCGTTAAAAGCCGCTAATACCGTAAAAGTCCGTAAATAAGTACCTGCCCGAAAGAAATACCCCCTTCATTCTTTTGGCTCTGTCTGTTGAAGTCAAGTCAAGCCCGATAAACATACTGCCCGAAATAAGTACCGGTATGGTTCGCACATGCAGCACGTAGCATGTACATCTACATAAAAGTGTTTTCTCCACTACACACAAGTCAGGTTCGAAAGTTAGTTCGTGCCCGAAAGTCAGTACCCGCCCGAAAGTTAGTACGGGTGTGGTCACTAAATTCGAAAGTAAATACGTACTTATTTACGGACTTTTACGGTATTGTGTCTTTGTTCTCTTTCCTATACAGGGCAGAACGCTGGAGAGCAGTTAAAGATGGCGAGGGACTGATGTTACTCTACTATGGAACTTCGCAAGGATGTCCGCTGTGCACGGTGCTAGTGGACGGAGAGAAAAAGTCGTACAAAGTCAAGGTGCATACTAGTAACATGGTCGCTCAACTGAAAACTGCATGCCCGGAGGCCCCCGAGCTACTGGACTGCATGGACAATCTTAAGGCGGTTATGTCAATAGTTGAGAATGCAGTGATCTGTGGTGGCTGCAGCTACGCCAAGTACGAAACGTGGATTGAGGAGCGACTGGACGGCGAATGTTTCCACAACCAATCTGGCGAGTGTCTGGCGAGACTCGACGAGCCTTGTGATTGTACGCCTGACCGGTGCATTCGCTCTGTTGCTTGTCCGCTTCTGCTGCCGGGAAATGGCGTGTCGGTCTGTATGGCCTGCAAGGACATGGACTGCACACTGCAGAGCGGTCTATCACGCCACGAGAACAATACCCCGCCAGGCAGCAGAACAGCAGATGTTCACCTGAGCAGAGCAGATTTAATCGTAAGGTATCGATTAAATCTGCTCTGCTCAGGTGAACATCTGCTGTTCTGCTGCAATAATAGTAATCAAGAGTCTATTAGCGGAAAACGAGTGCATACAACAGTCACAACAAACATGCCGAGCATTGGCGAGCTAAGCACACAGTGCTCAGGTCTTAATCTCCTTCTCCACCACAGTCCACAGATCCATGGTCCACAGATTGCTCCTTGATATTTTAAGAATATGGCGGGTGGAATCGACCAGATAACAGTCTAAGGTGGACAATCCTTCCTGCCAATGGGCAACCTGTGATCGGAAAGTTTTGACGCCATAGAACACTTCAGAATCATATCCGGCAGACTCGCCTCCGCATCGATGAAGCTTCCGCACTGCTGAATCCCTGTTACAAGTGTGAATGAGCATCCGCAAACACAAGGAGTGTCAAACAGAACGCAACTCATACTTTGGCTGGCCCGTTTCTCCATGTCTGACGCAATGCATCTCATCAAGAAGCTAAGGAATTTGTCCAAGAGTGGCCCGATACGAGCAGTGGTGTCCCAGACTCCTGGAAATCAACGGGAAGCCACATATTCTGGCACGTGTTGAGGATGTGTACAACTGTGACCACCGCAGCAGGGTTCTCACCAGAGCGACATAGCGGAGCGCTACGCCTTCCTTCACGTTTTGCCCCCCCCCCCCTTTCAAAATGAATGCGCGGTGCCCTTCAGAGTGAGAGCGCCGCCTTTTTTTAATATGCGTGATGAGTACACACCATGATTGTAGTGGCACAGCATTGTATGAGTCATTGCATGCTATAATCGTCACCGTGACCTCGAAAGCCATACACATGGCGGGTTCCAGTGGCTGGTGAATAAATACACGGAACGGAAGCTGCTCGGTTGCTGGCTGATGTCGGTGAAAGACTAAGTAGCGGCCAAAATGACAGCACAAAATGGCAGATAACGTCGCAAAAAGTTGGGTCCGCTGATCCTACCCCCCCCCCCCCCCCCGTTCACTTTTGTTCTGGCTAAACCCTGCGCAAGCAACTCCAATACACCCCTTTGAAGCGGAAACATGACTGTGTGGCTCACATAATCTTTTCCATCGGAATTCTCTGGACCATTTTCACATCAGCTCTTATCCACAGTTATTTCCATTTGAATGTTTGCACGCTCTCTTCATAGTTCATACCCGCTTTTTTCTTTCTTGTGTACACCATTCAATTATTGTGATGTTTTAATCCAACTGATGTCCATCGCAAGAGAACGTTCATGGAAGACCTGTGTGGACTTGCCTTGCCTAGTTGTGTACCTGCCTAAGTCCTTGCCTTGACTTGTGATGTGTTCGAAATAATGACTGGCAGTTTATTTTACCTGCAAAGTGGAACACGTCCACACAGCAATGAGGATACGTCACTGTACGAGGTGAATAACAATTTCTGCACATGCGTTTTTTTATCTAAAAGAGATCATTTCCCAGTCATTGTAGGTCTGTGAAATCACCTTTACAGGCTTCTGACACTGACAGGCAGTCTGTAGTTGTGGTCCATATACAGTTGCGCTCACTGAAATCCGACCCAATGTGCAAAACTGGCGCCCTCAACTTCCACGGCCCTGGCAGTGGAATGAATGCGGCTGGACGTACACATGTACACCCACAATGATGTAATCGGAACTGGTCCAGGGCGCCAGCTTTGCACTTTGGGTCGGATTTCAGTGAGCGCAACTGTACATGTAGCCTTGAAAGCAGGATAAATTCGACATACGGCCTGCGTTGGCCTGTACTTCAGCGCATGGAAATTTGGACATTCAAATTGAAACTGGTGGGTAAATATACTTGTGTAGCAGCATGCTCTTAATTGCGCCGACGCAAGTTTTCGTCGGCAGTTGACCGCACATCAGTCACTCGCATCTCCGGCCATGCACCCCCACTCCCCAGGTCCTGCAGGCATCAAGGGCGTGAGGAGGGGAGAGTGCACATCACGAACATGCATGATCAGATAGATGCCCTCATGCCACCGTGTACGTCAAAAGGGCACCGACCACCGAGGCAGCAGCGCTGAAGCACAAACGCTGAAAGCAAATACTAGTACAGTCATGTACACTGTACTGGAGTAAATGAGAGTAGTATTGAGGTCTTGAAGAAAAATTAAAATGGGAGCATTGAGCACACAGTAAAAAATCGAAATAGCTCGGTATCTGGGGGTATATGGGAGAGCAGTGGAGAGGAATATTTCTGGGAATGTCGGAAAGAAGAGCCACTGGTCGATTATACAGATGTGCACCAGGCGGTGGCTGGCCATGCAATAACATTAATCTGCTGGCCAAGACAAAGACGAACAAGAAAAAAAAAGCGTGGACGCAGTACTAGACACGGAACATGGAGCACAAGTAAGCAAAACTCAAATCCCCAAGGAGTTCCAGCCGGCGCAGAGTGCACATGTACACGTGTACATACAAACAGCATGTACATGTACACCAGATAGAAACAGTAGTTAGTGAAATGAAAAAAATAATAATTACGTAAACGGTCAAGTAACGGGTAAAAAAAGAAGAATGAGATGCATAGAAGAGTATGCCGCCCTTTTCCACCGCGTGGAAGACGTGATACGGGGACTGATATTGGCTGGCTAACTAGAGAAATCGAAAGTGTGTGTGTGTGTGTGCATGTGTGTATGTGTGTGTCTGTGTGTGTGTGTGGGGGGGGGGGGTATGTGCATGTGCAGCCTGTGTGTGTGTGTGTGTGTTTGCGCGAGTGCAAACTGCTTCCTAATGGTGGAAATAAATAAACGTGATGAGCCCCATCCTGAAGAGCAGCATGTCATGGTTTTGTTCAGGGAACAGAAACCTGAGCAGTGGGCACATCCCTTACATCGCCACTAAGTTACACTACAAGTACACAACCGCTCGCTTATTCCGGACCGGCCATATTCTCCGGCGGGAGGGCGTAGAAGCGAGAATTGTGACCGCCCCCATCGTCGTCGTCTTCTTCTTCTTCATCATCATCGCCATCACAACTGTCCCCGATGTCCTTGGTGTGGCTCACGAACGCCAGCCGATTGGCGCTGTTGGCGCTCTTGGTGCTGCCGCGACTCTTCGTGCTGTCGCGATGCGACCTGCGGCCCGGACTGCCCGCTGACGTGCCCGCCGTGTTCTTCGTGCGCCACGAGCTGATCCAACCGCCGACTGCTGACGACGCGGACGCAATCGCACCACCTATTCACAGGGGAGGAGACGGAGGAGGATGGGCGGAAACAGAGAAACACCAAAACTGAACACAGAGCAAGTACTGTAAAAGCCATATAATTATATAACGAAGTGCTAATTCTAACGAGTTAACGAGGAGAAATCTGTCGCTAAAATAGAAATCGTTATACAGAAGTCGACACATATACTGTTCTATTGAGCGTTGAGAATGAATAAAGGCTTTTACAGTACAACATTACGGTAAAGTACCGCCAGAGCGCCCCGCCTCGCGAGAGCGCCCCACCTTGATTTTACAGCCAAGGGAAGAAAATCGTATGGCAGAATGCTACTAAGTTTGTACGATTTGAGAACCTTCGTGTACTAAGCTACACTTGGTATGCTTTTATGTGGAGCTCGAAGGTAAACTGGGTACGGATTGACTGCACAATGTGCAATGTTTGTACAAGGTCCGTGCCGTATGACCTACAGACAGGAATCCACCTCCACAAGGCGGCCACGAAAGGACGAGATGGTGGGGCGCTCTGGCGGTACTTTACGGTACTTGTACCAAGAGTACATAACCCTCAAGAGAGTGCAACTGCCCGCATAACCTCTATGCTGTGCTGTGACGGCAGAACTTCACATCACGTGACATGGTTCAAAAGGTTATGCTGGCAAACAGTGCAAAGTGACCAAAAGAGAGTTGTACCCAAAGCTGGGCTGCGTACAGCCCTGTATCTATCATCAAGAGTACATAACCCAAGAGTGTGCAACTGCCTGCACAACCTCTATGCTGTGCTGCGACGGCAGAACTTCACATCACGTGACATGGTTCAAAAGGTTATGCTGGCAAACAGTGCAAAGTGACCACAAGAGAGTTGTACCCAAAGCTGGGCTGCGTACAACCCAGTATCTATCATGCACTAGAGTGCACGGGTTCATCACGTGATGTGAAGTTCATACATGTCACGTGCCTGTTGTCAGGTCGTTGCTAGCATTTGGCCAATCAGAGCAGCACCGTACCAGGGCACTATCAGACGATAATGCCCGGGTACGGCGTACCCATGCCCATTAGGAATGACCCCAGGCGTACTAGGTACGCTGGTGCACTGCCAAATATGCACCAAGCCATGCCTTTTGGGCAATGACCTGGTACATAATTGGCAGCACTCCAGCGCACATAGAACACGTGGGACCATTCACGATATCCTAAGGACACCACATGCACTCGCACACACCACACAAAACGAAACTACTTACGTGCACCGTCCAAAACAATTATATTTTACTAGCAATGTTGACATAGGAGAAGTAATTTATAACAACGTGACAATAACACACAGCATGTCACTACCATGCATTACTAAATTCAAGTAAATTGAGACGAACAAGTCGACAGGTGAACATGCATCACAAAGTTACCTATCTGGAAGAGATCAGATTGTATCTCGAACTCCTACAAAATGTACAGTTACATATACATGTACATGTACTTCAAATGTACATGATTGTCCAGTGTACATAATGGACCTCAAGTAAACTGAAAGCAATGCGAACAAAATCTCAGATGTACATTTGTGTGAAAAAGTATCATTGTTCCGAATAAGAACACTTACAATGTACTCTCAAAGCTAGTCTATTTACTAGTGCCACTTGGTCAAGGATGTTTGCGGTCAACGTTAACTCCAAAGCAGCAGCGAATCAGCTAACTTTCGTACCGCCCAACAGGCAACACTAACACCAAAATGCAAAGACATATTCCTGGAACTGCAAGTAAATCTGACACATAACGTTCTATCATTCCACGGAGAAAGCTCCTTCCTATCTTGTTCGACCCTTCATTCATATGACAGCTGATTGGAACCTTCCTCCTCCCTTGACCATGTTTACCTTATTTGTCTACAACTAGGCACGTAGCATGTATGAACTATAATAAACACATGGTGCGTCGTGCATTTTGGCTGATTGTATGCCCTAGTGCGTAGCCCTCGGTCGTGCACCGTAGCCCGCGGGCCTGCGGCCCTTGGGCTACGGTGCACGACCTCGGGCTACGCACTAGGGCATAAATCAGCCATAATGCCCTCCGTACCATGTGTTATTATATACTTCTGCCGTCGCAGACCCCATAGCTGGAGTTGCACACTCTTGTTTATCTACTCTTGCTATCATGTACAGAGTGCAAATAATGTGTACGGGTTCATCACGTGATGTGAAGTTCTGCCGTCGCAGACGCCATAGCTGGAGTTGCACACTCTTGGGGGTTATGTACTCTTGCTTGTACTTGTAATGTAGCCTACAGGGAGAGAAATTGCTTGGTGCTATACTATATGTAGGACCGCGTAGCCTCACTCACATGAGGTCGATTTTCCCTGGCCAGGACGTTACATGTACAGACAGGAAAGCAGCCCAGCAAAAGCAGCTCGAATCTCAGAGGCAATAGAGCACTTGAGTGTAACAAACAGTGAGGATGACATACATGCACCAGCAACCCTACCTAGCTCGGTTTTAGTGGTGCTGGCCGCAGCTCCCAGCTTCTGCTGAAGCGGTGTCAACGCCTCGCCGACTCGCATTTTGGTCTCGCTCATCGATTGCCGGATCTGATCTCTGTGGGACAGGGGGCAAGCACAGCAAAAAACAACACAGGGGTCACAACAAGAAAACCGTTCCAGTTAGAGTTTCCCATATTCCCAATCCCAACACACTCCATGCATGATGTCATTGTCATGCCATATGTACACATTCTGCTGGATTAGATTGTTACCTTGCGGATCTTGGTCACATTTCAGTAGATTTTATGTTGCAGGAAAACAAACTAGTGCACAAAGCTACTGGAAATTGCAGGGCATGCCAGCACAACCGTCTGGGGAGTTTTCGTTCACGCGACAGGTGACAGCGAGAATATCAGGAGATAAAACAAGGCCGTAGTGATTTTCTGTACCCCACATTGAATGGTACGTCTGTTTCCAACACCGCTTTCTTAGGAAGTAGTTCTGTCCGTGCAGAATAGGAAGGAGAGAGATAGCTACAATACTCATAAAGAGAGATAGCTAGCGAGAGTTCTACAGCTTTCAGGACGTACTGTGTTAGATTGTGATCTCGGAGGTCAGCGAGGCCAATCTGTCCTTTGCACGGATGCCTGTAGCCACAATAACACCAACAGCACAAACAGCAAGGGCTTTAATGAGTTTTTTAAAGATCAACACAAGACACAAATTATTGAAATACAAACACCACACGCACATACACACACCATACACAGACACCCACCCACCCATTCACACACACACACACACACACCTGGCCTGTCGAGCCACTGCCAAAAGGGTCACGCACAACGACAACTAGCCGATATAACAGCATGTTTCTAATACCCGGCTGAGGGTCATTATTCGCAAGGTTGACTGAAGCAGTACAGTAGCAGGCAGTCACAAGAATACAACCTTGAGTTGCTACAGCGGGCACATGAGCAGCTTAGGGGCCATCCGGCATTATCGATAATTTTCACGGAACGAAAAAGTCTACTTTTGAACCCCCCCCCCCCCCCCCACCCACCCATAAACGAAACTTTTCTCTTCGTGAAAAAGATCGATAATTACAGACGGCCCCTTACTTGGGTTCGATATCGGTGATGGCAGGGTGCGCCAGCCTTGTCCAGTGCAGGTAGTTATACTGCTCTTTCCATAGCCGGCCAAAATGCGTCCCAAAGTCGGCCATGAGACGAGAATCTGTGGAGGATGAGAACACAGAGAATACGGATGAATAAATTTGAAGGACTTGAGCACTCCAAATGCAAGACCGCCAAGGAGAGGCGTGATTATGCTCGAGAAAGATTGAGGACCAAACATTACACTGCATCTGCAAGCCAGGGCAAGGATACAGCTGTGAGCACATGGCTGCACCCGCACGGAAGTAATATGCAAGTAGATGCCGTGATGTTTGACCGCTCAGCTGATCACAACTCCATTGAACCAAACGGGGAGGAGGGGGGTTCACCACTCAGCATGACAGGGGACTGGACTCAGCAAGCACAGCAACACACAAAATGGGAGCCAACATGCCATGGTTGGCTCTCACCCTTCATCTCAACCGATTAATTGGCCGCTTTACGAAGTGCCAGGATAGGTTGTCTAAATTTAAAAAAAAGTAAAAACATACCCTTGCTGGACGAGCAGACGAGCAGAGCAACTAAGTACTGGCGAAACTGCTGTCGCACCCAGTCATCACCACCAAACCAGTTTGTCCCTGAGAGTGCAAAGAAAGCGGACGCAAACAACAAGACTGCTTAAAAGTAGTGTGACGGAATGTGCATGTATGTATGTATGTATGTATGTATGTATGTATGTATGAATGTAGCGCATTGGCCGGCCACCATGGCGCACATACACTCTAGTGTCAAATGCAAACTGGTTAAGAGTACAGTACGTCAGAGGATCAAGTGCACGTAACAACGCATCGCCACGGACATACCTGACGCGCACGACTCCTCATCCGCTTGAACGGCCGAGAGGATCTGATCGGCAAACCGCTGATCGGCCACCGTTAACGTCAGGCTGTTGCGCAGTGATGAGTCGAGAATCTCTACAGACCCACTCTCAGTCTGCAAACGTGAACGCAGAACCAAGACAACGCATCAGAAGACCATGGGAGAAGCGGGGGTGTGCCCAGCCAGAATGCGGCGGAGGAGAGACAACGTTAATCAGTGTGGATATATCTATGTTTCGCGTCAGTTCAACTTCCAGAATCATATGCGAGAGGTGGAAAATAATAAAAAGTTGCAAAATAATAAAAAGGCTCATCAGAGAGGTGTATGCACTGTACATAGCACAACAGCTCGTGCATGATGTACATTCGAGAGAAAAATCGTACATCGAAGCACAACATCTGGGTTATCAGCATGAGTAAATATTCACTTTGGACAGAGGAGGCAACCGTTGGTGCCCATGCTTCGCTGGCTTATTGTACTGAGACTTCAGCAGCGGTGCAAAGAGCTCCGGAACGACGCATCCTCTCAGCTTGAGGCGATCAATGCGGTCTGGTGTAAGCTCATAGAATATTGCTCCCAGATGCCGAACAAACGATTTACGAACGCTGGCCTAGAGGCCATTTCTGAATCCCAGCTTCGCCGTATCGCAACCAGTCCACACTGATGACTCGCACAATCGTACACTCACTGTGCATGTTCGATTTTTTTATTTTTTTTCCGAAAAAAGTCAAAACGTATGCGTGCGGACGACGCGAAACATAGCTATAAAAAATGATGGCCTTACTATTATTAGAAGTCACTGCGTTTTGAGTCGGACTCAGGACTGTTTTGAGTCAGACGAAATTATTGACCGACGAAATTTTCTGTCTGGACATACTCGGGTACAAGAACTATGTACTCACATCCACTTGCACGTCAACGAGGTTGGGCGAGTGCAGGAATAGTGCGTTAGTGGAGCCGGCGACACATCCCAGCATCTCATCTCCCTTGAAGTTGTCCATCTGCTGCAGGGACATGTACGGCAGGACTGGTGTGTCCTGTACCCAGTACACACACACACACACAACAGACACATGTATATAATTGTGCACACACACACACACACACACACACACACACACACACGTACACACACAGAATACCAGCCTTCAGGGCACTTCTGAGCCTGCTAGATTCACCGAAGAATTCACCAGAGACAACAAACCCATTAACCATAGCATGTACATGTAGGAGTCAAGGTCTTTGGAGCTTTCCAAGAGCGAAACATTCACCTTTGGAAATATTAGAATGCACATGAGAAGCACACACCAAAGTCTCTACGACGGCCATAAGACTCGTAACAGTAACCGGCCTCCAAAGTCCAAACACTACATCACAGTACAAATGCCAGGTGGTGGCGGCGGTAGTGAATTGTACATAGACCGCATGCGCCACACTCACAGCACGGCAAAACCGAATCGGGAACCCGTAGTCGTCAGACGTCGATGATAGGTCCTGAAAGCGACAACACAGAGAAACACACACACACACACAGGGAAGTTGTAACAGGACTTCTTCCAGCAGCACGGACGGGCTTTGCCCATTGCCCAGCGTATAGATGTAACGTACACATACACATATTCAGTAGACATCAGCTTACTACAAAAGGGTTCTAATGATAAGGAGAAAGCAACCGTACAAACAAGAAAACCACTAACTATTCTTGCTCAGAAGACTGCATACATGCCTAGTGAAATCAGCATGGGATGCAATCCACCTTTGCAATATCACAGGAATGGCTTCAGTTCAGTGGCAAAACAGCACGTCCACAAACGTCCAGGAGTATTACTAGTAGAACACATGAACAGGATAAGTCATTGGACACCTGCACAGAAGTACGTGTATAGGCGTAGAAGAGTAGAGCGGCACAGCACAGACTGCTCGATGCATGTAAACATTAGTACATTACTAAACAAGCCAGCATAGCTGTATGCTTGCCAGCACTCACCACATCTGCAGGCTTAGCACTACCCTCTGAGGACACTGGCGGGGCAGGCTGTATCTGGGGTAAGCACGTCTCCAGGACACCTAAGCAACACACAGAGAAAGCACATGTACAGCAAATACTGTCAGGGCTGCTGTTGCTGCTGGAGTCTTAGGCCTCGTTTACACGACAACGATTGAAAAACATTTTCAAAAGAATACGCTTCCACAGATTTTGATAAGAGCGTTTACACGACAACGCTGAACAACTTTTCAAAAACGTTTCAAACGTAAAACGGCCTTCAAAGTGTTTTTCAATCATTTCCGTTCCGTTTCGTTCTCGTGTAAACGGCAAAAACGTTTTACTAGTACGAGCCTTGTACTCAAAACATGCCGCCGCCAGCCTGCGCCAGGCCAACTTATTGCACGTGATCATTGCGCGCCGAAAAACGTGTTGCAGTGTACACGATTATCGTTTTCGTGTAAACAGCAAAAACATTTCGAAAACGATTGAAAAACGTTTTTCAATCGTTGTCGTCTAAGGGTGTCATCGATAGGCGAATCTGGATTGAGTGCGAGCAGGCGGTGTGGTCCGAGCAACGCTGGCCCAATCGAACAAAACAAGGGTGCAGTACGCAAAATGTACGCATATCGTACAAAGATTCTGTGAAAGCTGTCCAAAACGGCAAAGTCCATTTCCACTCCGGCCATTCCCGGTGTGGGGGCCGGTGTGGTCGGATTCCACTCCAAGTACACCTACTCCAGATTCGACCAAACGATCACGCTCACTCGGAGCACACTTGCTCGGGATTCGCCCAATCGATCATGCCCTAAATGAGGCCTTACACTCATGATGTGCAGAATATGCCTTTTTATTTAAAAAAAATTTCAAATTTGGACTTCACGGAGAATTTCACAAAGTGTTAGGAAATTAGAGGCCGCATGCCACGTACTGCTCTTTTCTCTCTGAAACTCAACACTTGCAAGCCAGATATGAAAGAAAGAAAAAATCATCAGTCAGACCACCGGGACTCGAACCAGGGACCTTGCAAGGTCCCTGGTTCGAGTCCTGGTGGTGTGACTGATGATTTTTTCTTTCTTTCATATCTGGCTTGCAAGTGTTGAGTTTCAGAGAGAAAAGAGCAGTACGTGGCATGCGGCCTCTAATTTCCTAACACTTTATTAAAAAAAAGGAAAAGAAAAAAAGATGCATGACAATAGCAACACCAAAAAAAGAACCGTCAAAAAAGGAGAGAGAGAGAGAGAGAGAGAGAGAGAGAGAGAGAGAGAGAGAGAGAGAGAGAGAGAGAGAGAGAGAGAGAGAGAGAGAGAGAGAGAGAGAGAGAGAGAGACACACACACACACACACACACAATAACAAGGGAACGGTTCGCTCTGATTCAAATGCTAGTGAGAATTCATAAAAAAATTAATTCCTCCTACATTTCTCAAAAAGTATGAAAACTCCACTGTAGCCATCCATTATACACATACGCAGTCATACATCCTAACACTCTCCAAACGGTCTCTGAGCTACACCAATCACTAAAAGAAAAAGAGATAATCATTCGAATTTTCGGGCCAGGCCCATCTTCAAGAATCCCATTATATTGTACAGACAATGCCTTACCCTGAGAACCCCGAGCAACAACTTCTTTAACGAAATGCTACAAAGCACATGATCCTAGAGGGTGGTGGCATTCCTACAGATGCGGAAAACTCGGCTGGAAGCCGAGTCTTACGCGAACCGTGATTTTTTTTACAAAGCACATGATACGCACTCCAAGCTTACCTGGAAATAACGAAAGCAGTGCCACCACTGTCTCACATAGGTTATGCACAGGATGGCTGTGAAACAGTACCTGCAAGGATGGAAAGACCAAAAAAGACCAGCAAACATGTCTATGCAAAGGCTTCTGCTAAACCCCGTGCCAAAAACGAGACCAGATTGACCACCAAGAAGCAAATTCAGTGTCTAAGAAAAACCGACAAGATGCACAAAAAAACGGCAAGGCAGTCGAGATCTGGTCAGCGTAAAGCCAGTTGACAACACAACACAATAACACACCTACCTTCTTCTCCAGGAGCATAAGTTTGAACAATACTAACGCCTGCATGCAGATAACACACACACACACACGCACGCACGCACACACACACACACACACACACACACACACACACACACACACACACACACGCACACACACACACACACACACAACATGAACAGTCAGCCATCAGCACAGTAGCCAGCACAGTAGCCAGCACATACAGTCATCGCATGTATTATGTAAGATCGACCACGTGAATAACGACCTCGGGGATAAAACTCGCGAACAAACGACAAAATCTCCAGACCTAGTGTCCATGTGACTGCATATTTTTCAACCTTATGAATAATGGCAACTCGCACATAACGACCCCCTCCTCATGCACGATCAGGGCCGTTATTCCCAACGTAGACCGTCCTCACACACACACTGGGGTATCAGATCAAATCTACTGCATGTGCTTCTGAAGAGAGCGGCCTTTCAACTACGGCGATTCCCGATTACACTTTCGACAAAAACTTCCAAAGGGGAGGAAGACGCGCTTCTAGCAGGGTGTATCCTGGTTCAATACAATCGCCGGGCCATTCCTGAGTGCACCCCATCCAGCCAGCACTGGGCCATGCACAGTGCTGCATTCCACAGCTCCAAGATTTCTTGCTTGGAGCTCGCCTGAGGAAACAAGATTATCTCTAAGCCCCCCGTCCAGCAATAATATCCGCACTCAATCTGCTAGGCGAGAGATCGTGCTAAGCCTAGAACCCAGGACACACAGACACAAACAGACAGACATATATACTCAGCACAACTGCAAAGCTCTGCCTATGGCATATGCGTTACAAAATATTTATAAATGTCCTCTACCTGGAGACTCCTTATTGTATCTAGGTACCGAACAGAGCTTTCTCAAGAAGAAATAACGCCTCACCTTGCGTCCAAAGCGGAGGATAAATTTTCTTGCTGATATACCTGAGCAAGAGAAGATCACAGCCACAAAGAGAAAAAAAGAGTGGAAACTGGTATGTGGAGACAACCAATAGATATGTGAGCCGGCGGAGTATGGCTATGCTCAGCCTCATGACTATGCTCCAGTGCTATGCACCAGTGGACAGTCCAGTGTTGCCATGGCTGCATGCCTTGGGCTACTGTAAGACCAGTACTGTTACGCGAATCGATCACATATGATCGATTCATGATCGATCCGTAAAACCTTCGTAACTCCATCATGTCTTGTCCGAGTTCAACAATCGAAGGGTCTATTCAGTAGCGGAAACTCTAAGCTTTCCAATGCAACAGTCGCAGAAGAGCTACGATGTACGAATCCAGAGATATCGCGCGCCGTACTCTTGTATCGGCAAATTCAAATTTTTTATCGATCTCTTCGGCATTTTAGGGGAAATCCGTTTTCGTGTGCTCTTTGACCAACTCAGCACATGATAATGACGCAGTTGGCTGAATTTTGAATCGCCTCGAAAAGATTTGAGCGTTATGCGATAGAGAAGAGTGGAATGGCGTTGATGGAGAAATTTGCTCGCATATTGGGCTTGGAGACGACTTTGATGTGTTCCTGCGCCTGATTTGTGGCAGCTAGTTGATGGATCCTGGTATCCTGGCGTTGCTCTCGACAGGAGCTTTCCAAAGAGCCCAAGATTGTGGAAATGGAGCGAAGGAGGCCAAAGTTATAGCCTGTTGAAGGTGAAAATTGTGCTGAAAATTCAAATTCTGCTTCATTCTGTGCTGGAAATCAGTACATAAAGGGTTAATTCATTAACATTTGAAGTCGTTATCTAGAAAACGATATGTACATGTACAGTCATTTGCCAGTTTTGAGACGGAATTCGTTAGAATTTCACCTCACTACCCTACAAAAATCTGGAGATCGTTAACTTTACTTGACGTTAAAACATCTGGTCTTACAGTGCATGTCAACATACAGAAAAGGACATGGAGTGGTGGTGCTTGACAGCCGCATGGCAAAGAGCATGCCATCTGGGTGTTGCTGGCCAAAGCAATGGCTGCCATGGCCCATACATGTACTTACATGACGAAGGGCTAAGACTATGTGGTGAGCTAGGCGATGGTTGAAGAGCGCGATTCAAGTGGTTATAAACATCCTGGTACACATACCATACACGTGCACATACATACACACACGCATACACACACACACGCGCACACATACACGCACACACACACACACATACATAAACACACAGGCACGGAACAACCACATCAAACAACAAACCGCTGGGGATGGCTCATCCATTCGATAACACATTTGTTGTGCTTGCATACAACAAAAGCCATTCGCAATTCTTCCACTGGGTTTCAAGTATGAACTTCATGCATTTGATCTGCACTGAAGAAAATCGGAAAACTTTTGCTTGCTTTGCCAAATTCCTTGCAATGTCCAAAACAATCCTAAAGACCCACTGGAACACAAATGCCGAGTTCAAGCAGAACTAGATCATAATATCCAGTCACTTAGTGCGACAACTAGGCACAAAACTGACGGGCTACTCAGACATGCAACGACGTAGTTCCAACACAAATCCGAAGCGCAAACCAAACAACCTTCCAACCTGAGCTTTCCAAGTTAGAGAGTTGTTGGTTTGCACTTCGGGAAATGTGTTGGAACTAGGCACCAGGCTGTTGAATGTCACCGCACCCCCCGTCAGTTGTCAGTGATGTGCCTTTTCGTCGCATTACGGTAAGTCATCTGTCTGCATACCGCATTACCGGTATCAGCTGGTAACATTGGTGGACTGTTAGTCAAATCTCATGAATTGTCCTTCCTCTTATCGAGCATAATAATTAGGGGTCAAACGGGTGTACCTTTAACTAACAAACGGGTAATTTTCTTAACGGGCGGGTTAACGGGTACCCTTTAGCAGCCATGTTTATTTTTTTGCGCAATTTTCACAGGAATCAAGATTTCAATTCATCTGTTCTCGGGTTGCATTTTGATATCACATTGTGATTCGTAAATCGATTGGTGTCTGACAGTCGCAGGAGTAGATGTAGTAGGTGCGAAAATGCAACAACAATGCCGACCTCCAGCGTGGTGTTGTAAATAACTGACAATATACGATCCCAGCAGTGTTGCTCCGTACTGACTACTTCATTAAAATCCAAACGGGTACCCTTTTACTAACGGTACCTGAGATTAACGGTCGGGTACCCGGGTACCCGGTACACCCCTTTGACCCCTAATAATAATATTAGCTCGCCAACCAAGTTCAAACCATGTGGCACTGCTTACAATTAAAATCTGCGTTTTGGTGAAGTTTTTCTCTCCAAAGTAGGCATGCGTGGCCAGCGACAGGTGATGCTTGATGAGGCCAAACAGTGGCTGCAAACAGACGGCACATGGAGAGTACAGAACACAGTCATGTAAATGTACACAGGCATATAGTACAGACTTTCTCGTTCAGCCGTGAGCAGATGTTGCCACCTGCTTGCCCGATTCATAGGGCCACTTCCAAACACAGCGTATTGCGTGCATGGCTGGCACACATAGCCTTGTCACAAATTTGGCTTGAACACTCTATAGGTTATGCAATGGTGTCAAATCTGCCTTAGTAACGTTATACGGGAGCTAGCTGACCATGCGAGGTGAACTGCATATCTTCTATACGTTCTTCGACCGTACACCCGTTGTCATGTACGTGACACAGAGTATATACCCACCCACCTGCCGACATAATACACACACGCTCTTCTGGACAACACGTCGCTTCACATCGCTGCCCGTCTCCTCCAGGTCCTGTCAGCAGACACACGGCAAACATTAGCAGCACACGTGCACACCACGCACGCACGCACACACACACACACACACACACACACACGCACGCACGCACACACACACACACGTGCACACGAACAAACAGACAAGTCAAGCACACATACTTCCGTACAAAATACACTCGCGTGCGGGTATGCACGTACACGCACACGCACGCAGGCACACACACAGACACACACACACACACACAGCGCATACACACGGCACACCACATCACTACAACATACAAACCACTGTGGAAAGTGGACCACACTGATGCAGTCCTCGCAACCAGTCAGCAAACAGCCAAAATAGAAAATAAATAAACAACAGAACAAGCCTGGTTTCTACGAGATAGAAAAAGAGCACTTAAAAGGCATGCTCAGTACTAACCGCCGCTTCTATCTGCCGGTAGCAGGCCACCGCCGACAGTTGTGTTTGTGTGTCGTCCGGATCCGGGAGCAGAAAGAACACAGCGTCTGCGTGGGCGCAACAGCAGACACAGAACACAAAGTCACAATGCTGTACATGTTATTTTACTCACGTTGGCAGTGCCAGTACAGACAACAGGGTCAGGACAATACACCCACAGTGAAGCGACGTCAAGAGCAGAAGCAGGAAAGCGTACTTTAATAGTATACAAGCTACTAGTACTTCTTAATCCAACATACTTTTTTTTCATCAACCACCACACGTGTCCCCCTTTATCTGATACCTTTTTTTCCATCATTCTGTGAGAGCCAGCCGTTGGCTGGTGAGAAGGAATCATTGCCTGTTCGCTTGGTGAAGTAAAATAACGAATACCATGCCATACCATACTTCAGCATGGAGCAATACGCCTGTGCTCCACAAAGTGTCCGAAATGAGGGAGCACCTAATAAGTTAGCATCTTTTTCGTAACGTACCGCATTCCAAATAGACTCTTCGGGGCCACGCATGTTCAGCAGAAGGCGGAGTTCGATGAGGGTGATTCGCAGTCACGGCAAAGACGACTGCAATAGCAGTTCCCGGCGCTAGCACCGGAGGCAAACTCTCCATCGCGTGTAACTGCTATAGGAGATCCAGCGCCATGCGAAAACAAAACACGTACAGTTGTGCTCGGTGAAATCCGACCCAAAGTGCATATTTGGCGCCCTCAACTTGCACGGCCCTAGACGTCCTGCAAGTGGTGCGAATGCTGCTTGACGTACACAATACATGTACAGTGATGTGATCGAAACTGGTCCAGGGCGCCAGTTGTGCACTTTGGGCAGGATTGCAGTGAGCAGAACTTTACACGTAATCTTCTACGTGTACGACCAAAAGTACATAACCTCCAAGAGTGTGCAACTCCAGCTATGGGGTCTGCGACTCTGCGACAGTAGACCTTAACATCACGTGCCAAACCCGTACCCGTTATTTGCACCCTGTGCATAACAGATGCAGGTTTGCACGCAACCCTGCTTTGGGTTCAACTCTCCTGTGGTCACTTTGCACTGTTTGCCAGAGGAACCTTTTGAACCATGCCACATGATGTGAAGCTCTGCCGTCGCAGCACAGCACTGAGGTTGTGCAGGCAGTTGCACACTCTTGGGGGTTAGGTGCTCTTGATACGACTGGCATGTGTACTTTGAAGTGTGGGTCTAAACTCCCTGCATACAAATGTGTCCGTAGGCAAGAAAGAAAGATGCAAACACACACGCAAGCGCACGCGCGCACGCACACACACACACACACACTACTACTACTACTACTACTACTACTACTACTACTACTACTACTACTACTACTACTACTACTACTACTACTACTACTACTACTACTACTACTAGTACTACTACTACCAAGAGTACATAACCAAGAGTGTGCAACTGCCTGCACAACCTCTATGCTGTGCTGCGACGGCAGAACTTCACATCACGTGACATGGTTCAAAAGGTTATGCTGGCAAACAGTGCAAAGTGACCACAAGAGAGTTGTACCCAAAGCTGGGCTGCGTACAACCCAGTATCTATCATGCACTAGAGTGCACGGGTTCATCACGTGATGTGAAGTTCTGCCGTCGCAGACCCCATAGCTGGAGTTGCACACTCTTGGGTTATGTACTCTTGCTACTACTACTACTACTACTACTACTACAGTCGTCCCTCTCTAATCCGGCACCTTTTGCAACGGCATTTTCTGCTGGATAAACAAGGGTGCTGGATTATCAAATCCTGCCCTCCAACCCGGCCCACATGTTATCATACATGTTTGTGTCGTACGTCAAAACGTAGGGATTTTCTGTGTCAAACCAAGTACTTTGTGGAATGCATGTCTATAACATACACTTGGGAATATCTTATGCACTAGCATAGGATATTCCCAAGTGTATGTTACATGTGTTGTGTATGTTACAATGGTCCCTGACAGTATGCGATGTACAACTGCTGGATTAGAAAATCGAATTATGTACAGTTTGAGTGATTTGTTGCAGAAAATCGCTGCTGGAGGCGGAATTCAAGTGCCGGATTAAAGCGTAGATAATGAACTGAAAAAATCCGTTTTGCCAGAAATTGTGCTGGTTTGCAAGGGTGCTGGATAAACAAGTGCCGGATTAGAGAGGGACGACTGTACAACTATGTACAGGTACCCTATCGGGCCACGCCGCTCCCAGAAGCGGGAGACGACAAGTAGTGAGAGAAATCGCAAAGCACATACACACACAAACACACACATGCCTGGCCATTTTCAACACCGCTTGCACAACGCCATTGTGACTCCATTCGTACACGTTTTCTGGATGAAATGCGGAGTAAGGTAAGGTTTTGGTGCAAATCTATGTAAAATCAGTGCAAACCCAACTAATAAGTAAGGAGTCTGGTGATTACCTTCTGTGGCCAAGTGAGCTCCATCAGGCAACGCCAGAGCAGTGATATATTGCCACTCGGGAGGCATCACCGGTCTTCCATCCGCCTCGCCATACTTCAACGGGGGATAGCAAAACTCCACCTGCAGCATTAGTAGAGTTGAAACAATATTAATTTTATGAAAGTCTTCATGCCCCATCTCAACTACAAACTGGTTCGACTTCAATTATCGACAGTGTTGAGAACCAACCTCCGACCCTCGGGTATGGTGAAATCCAACCACAATTATGTGCAGAATGATCGGCTCAGAAAACTGCTCGCTGCCTGTGTCCTCAGACATCATCGACGCACCTTGGTCAATAATGCACCTCAATTTTTCTTCAAAACACAATTCAGGCTTTTTCAGAAAGGCCTGTTTCTCTTTAGTACGCGGAGGTCCAATCACGAGCTAACTGGCTTGGGCTTTCCTTGCCACTCAGCTTGTCGTCCACTATTCTATGAGTTGGACAGCTTCTAAATGCACACAATGTGCTTCAACAAGGGCTGAATCCCGCTCTATATCTCCATCCATCGCATTTTTCTTCAAAACACAATGTCATGTACCATGTACATGTACCGTCGACGGGCCGTCAATCTTTTGTTTCAAAAAATGTCAGCAGAATGTTTTCCGTGCGTGGCGATGACTTAGGGCTGCGTTCGTTTTTAGCTACTTGGTAGAGTAGAGTAGAGTCACTCTACCGATAGAGGTAGATGGTAGAGGCAAGTGTACGAACGCTGTTCTACCGGATCTAGTAGTTTACACGATGCGTACGTGAAATGTTTCTTTTTTTTATGGAGTTGTGTACAAATCCTTGATCTTGCTGGAAATCCCGTAGCTCTACCAACTTCTACCGGATTCTACCAACTTTTTCCCGGTAGAGCCGGTAGAGGAAAGTAGAATCTACCCTTTTGAGTAGAATTTTTTTTCAAAAAACGAACACCTCTTCCGAAAGAAGTAGTTTCTACCCAAACCTGTAGATCAAAAACGAACGCCCCGGCCGATGACGTAAAACGTCCAAAGATTATGTACTCGTACGATGGTACTCGATCGTAAAGTCCAGTTGCAAATCCGGATTTTTTTCTCCTCTAGAAAATCATCAATCGACAAAGATTTCTTCTTGTTTTATTTCCTTCAAAGGCTTCATCTCCCTTTCCGACGCGCCCAGCATTGAAAGTGCGCTTCATACTTGGCTGAAATCCTGACTGGCCGGCTAAAGCCATGGAACGAGGAGCGTCTGGTTCTGGAGAAGATCGCCGGTATTCTGGCCCGCGTGCCTCTGGTGACCGGTCATCAGACGATGTTGTACCTCCTCACTCTCGCCTGTTTGTAGTTTGTGGCAAAGGCCGCACATCGGACGACCTGCGGCCAGTGTTTGAGAAGTATGGAACGATCGAGGACATATTTGTTGTCAAGGACCGGCAGACCGGAGAGAGCAAGGGCGTTTGCTACGTGAAATACGATCGGACATCTTCGGCCGCACTGGCCCAGGAGGGCCTGAATGACACAGTCCTGGAGCCCGAGTCGAAACCTATACGCGTAATGATCGCCGCTCCCAAGACCAAACAGCCTGGCTATGATGTCAACGACGAAAAGAGTCGCAATCGCCTGTTTGTTGTGCTGCCGAAGGGCTCTGGTGACAAGGAGCTGCGCGCCGCTTTCAGTGGATGCAAGGACTACGACACGGCATACATTGTGCAGGACTGGAAAACCAACGAGCCGAAAGGGTTCGGTTTCGTGCAGTTCAACCGCGCCTCGTCAGCCGCGCTTGCCATGGAAAGCTGCGACTCCAGCTTCCGTGCGGTCATCGCGGAGCCGAAAGACGCAGCTCGCGACCGCTCGCGAGGTGCATCCGGTGGTGGGCATTCGTCCCAGGACGTGTCGTCAATGGTGTACCCGCCACTGCCTCCGATGGGTGGCCAGCAGGGCTCGTCTCGCTACAGCAGCGGCGGCGGCAGCTATGGAGGCAACGACGACGGTGGCATGCCCACCAGGCTGTACATCATCGTTGACACTTGCGTCTCACAGGATCAACTGGCTCGCCTGTGCGACATCGCGCCCGGCATGGAGCACTGCGACCTGAAGATGGTGCGAGGCACCAGCGAGTCGCGCGGCTTTGCCTTCGTCACGTACGAGAGCGCGGCGAGCGCGCGCTTTGCCAAGGAGCGCCTCAGCTGCGTGGAATACCCGCCGGGAAACCGCCTGGTCGTCAAGTACGCCATGGACCATCCGAGATCGGCAGCAGCACAGCAGCAGTACGAGGGTGGCGGCGACCAACGCTCATCTCGCTATCGTGGTAGTAGCGGCGGTCATGAGTCCTCGGGGCCTGCGTACCGTGACCATTACTCTGAAGACCCTAGCATGGTAGCGGGGGGAAGAGGCGGTTACCATGATGGCGAGTATGGCGGCGGCGAACAGCATCACCACGAGACAATGCGCTACGATAGCTATGCGCAAGGTGAGGAGATCTACGGCCGTCCTCCTCCGGCTACAGCAGCAGCAGCACCTCCTCGCCGCAGCAGCGGTGAGCATGACTTTGCAGCCGACCAGTACTCCGAGAGCGCTGCACACACGGAGCACAAGCCATCGCCCTCGGCCGGTGCCGTCGACCCGTCGCGCTTGTTCTTTGTAGGTACGCCGTCGCTGCCTCCGGAGAGCGTTCTTCGCTCGGTGTTTGGTCATTTCGGCAGCTTTGTTGATGCCTATGTTGTACGCGGACACAACTACGGGTACGCGCGCTATGGTGACGAGACGACCGCCCAGTTGGCCATAAAGCACCTGAACGGCTCGGAGGTGGTCGGCAACAAGCTCAAGGTCATGCTGGCCGACCCTGCGCCCCGCGCGGACGAGCCGAGCGCCAAGCGTACGCGTGTGTAAGTGTGTGCGTGGCTGCACTGTACACACACGGCCGGGAGGTGCGCGAGAGTGTGCGTACAACAGTGTGAGACAGACGACAACGACGACGACGACAACGAAGAGGCCAACGCTGAAGTGTGACCATTACAACAACTAACGGTACTGCAACACGTACGCACTCTACACTGGGCGGAAGCGAAGACGTTGACCATGTGGTCGAAGTAACGACACGCACTACTCTATACTAAAAGTAGCCATGTGTACCAGCGGCGGGCTACTACAGTAACTAGAACTGGTACTGGTGCGAGTACTGCTGCACGTAGACCTCGATGACTTGTTTGACGCTGGTGTATATTAGTATTACGCGCACTGCTAGTTACAGACTAACTTACTGTCGACACTAGGCTTCATGTATGTTGTGTGTTAGTAGAGCAGCAGCAGCACCATGCATTCTTGTTTCAGCATCCATACCTAACAGAGCAGAGCAGTGACGGCCGCTTTCTGTCCGTAGACGCCCAGGTTTTTCCAGGTTTGACTGACTGAGGTGCACGCCGGCTAGCGATACCACTCGCTCCACAACAACGACGACGACGAAAGCCTTCACTGACTTGCTTCTGGACACACGGAGTCTTCGTTCTGACAGTAGTGACTGTTTTACTGCAGCGTACGGGACTGAAACGTCGCTGTGGACGGACGCAGGCACGGTTTCGCTGTTATGACTTTGTTCTCTTTAGCCTGCGTATGTGTATGTATGTGTGTGTATGTATGTGTTTGCATGTATGTGCGTGTCTCTGTCTGTGCGTATGTATGTGTGTGTCTGTGTGTGCAAAATCACAAACATACTTCAAATACTGCTGCAGAAGTACATCTACACAGTTCCCTGCAAGCTGCATTTTCTTGTCTCCTTTTCTTTGACGTCGCCAGTTTCCGACGATGACACTAACATGTAGTTACGTTTACTTGTGCAACATGCTTACATACTGCTGTACTTACTACGTTTGACGTGACTAAAACTAGCACTAGTATTAGAACAAGTACATGGCGTGTAGTAGCAGCGTTGATCCCGTCTGCGTTCTTGCTTTCTCCTCCGCTTGTTAACCTGTCTTCGTTGCGCGAGTCTTCTTTGCATTGCGGTGTGCCGTTCTCTTGCTGTGTTCTCCATGGTCCAATGGGCAGTGATGCTCAAAGCTGATAGTGGCTGTACGTGGCATGCTGCTGTAGTCTACTGGTGTCCTGGCAATTCCCAGGAAGACAGACCTCTTGCTTTCTGGTAGCCGGATTTGGAAATTATCCGAGTGTAGCATCTGAGTGTGCGGAACTTTCGTGTACTTCATTACGGCTTGCTACAAGTAGTGTGTTTCCCGGGCTGTCGTCTCAGCTCGCACTCAAAGCGGCAATCCTATGCCATGACCTTTGTTCATGGAGAAGAAAGTTGAAGTGCTACCAGCGCTGTCTCTGTTTCACATGCAGCAACTTCTTTGCTTCGGCCAGTCGCCGTGCTGCCGCGACCTATGTGTTCAGCCGTCACTCTCATGCTCCTTCCTGAAAGTGCACGCTCGCTCTCCATGTGTGTTGCGTTCTATGCATCTGTCCTGAATCGTCAAACCTCTGCTGTTCAGTGGCTCCTTGTAGCGAGAGCGCCTGGGTGCCATCCCGAGTGGAGTCTGTTGGTTTCCCACTGCTGTGGTGGGGCTTTAACGGCCGTCATGCCTCTGGTGTAGCTGCCAGGACCTGATCCTGCATTATACTTCTTCAAGTATGTGCACCCACGACATTCACGGCTACAACTGTGGTCCGTATTGTAATGCAGCTGCAAATACTGTAACAAGTGTTGTATACTGCGTGGCTATCCTGTGCATAGGCGGAGCCGGAGTGGTGTTTTGCCCTGAAATACAACTTGGCATCACCAGGGAGCCCTACACATACCCTATGCGAGGGCTCTTTGGGCATAACCAGGGAGTCGTAAAATTAGTATTTTACGACTCCCTGGGCATAACTGACTGACACAGTCACAGTAGATTGGCCGACGCACTAACCGGGTACCATAACAGACAGATGGAGCCCCGCTACTCCACACAGGTCACTTGCTACACATACAGAGTGTAAATACTAGATAGCTGCACTCCATATCCGATATCCATTTACACTAGTGGAAGAAAGCCAACCAACCTTTACTCATTTTACCAGGGGTTGTTGAAGTCAACATGAT